CTCCCGGTTGTACAGGGTGTAAGAATAAGACTCGGTACCATAATGCAGAGTGCCGCAAACGGTTCCAGAAACTAGTTGATGAAGAAAAGGAGCTGGAAGCCAAGTCAAAGCCCATAACAGAGTCGGTAGCTGTCGAACCTCCTAGCGAAGTTCCCAGTGCGCTTGAGGATGCCCCCGTGGGACCACCACCGGAAGACGGCATATTTGATGATGAAGGTGAAATCACAGTTGCCGTTCCTTATAGTGTCTCTGGTGCTGCCACTTTGCCCCAGACCGCTCCCAGCCGTGCTGAGCTAAGTAGGGATTCCTTGCCAGTGTTCGGTGCACAGCCCGTGCCTGCATGTCCCGCAGCTAATCAGCCTCCTAAGAACAATAATAACCGTCGTAAACGACGCGCCTTGAAGAAAAGCCAGAAATCCAATGAGAGATCAACACTGTTTGAGTTTGCATGTTCCCTCAACTCACAGCTTGGGTTGACAAGTGAGCAATGTAACATAAATCACATTGGGTTGTGCAAGGAAAGGATAGACTTGAGTGATGAGAATCAATGTTCCCAACTTGATTATCAAATAGGTGAAGCCGCAAAAGTTGCACCGCCTAACCTTTGGTCGTCCATACCATGCACGTCTGGTTCTCCTTGGCAGTATATCAATAGACGGAAGGGAGGAGCTGCTTACATGAAAAGATTAGCGCTCCAACTCCGAGAATCGAAACGACTTTTCAAAAGCTTTTCCAAAAGGGCAGAATTAGTTTTGAAACTAGGAGGCACTGTTTCTTTTGAATGGCCACGTCCCTCAACTGGCTGGAAGAGACCAGATGTCGTAGCTTTCTTTAATTCTCACCCTGAGTTTATGGAAGTTGATTTCGATGGTTGTGCAGTAGGTCTTAAGTCCAAGAAGGGTGTTCCCATCAAAAAGCCTTGGAGAGTCCGAACCACTTCCCAAAGAATAGTAGATGTTTTTAAAGATAAAAAGTGCAGTTGTGAACAACCACATGAAAAGTGTGAAGGTTCGGAAACGGCGCGATCAGCTATGTATCCCCCAGAGATGGCATTTTTGATTACTCAAGCGCTGTACCCTGCTAAGTGTTCCCAACAACATGCTCCCGCAATGCCATGCGCTCCACTTTCAACCGAACCCCAAGAGCACCGCGAAGTTGAACAACATCTCAAACATGTGTCCCCACTAGCTGGTTTTGAGGATCTTGCAGTTGCCATTGAAACGGATCCAACAGTAAACTGCTTAGTGTCGGAGCTTCTAGACCATGAGCGTTTGTTGTCACAAGCCTTCGGGCATGAAGATAACAATGAACCCTCCCAAGAGGTTCAAGCCATGGTAACTAAGTTGCTTTCTAGGGCCGAGATGTTATCCAACCCCCAAGCCCTTGATGCTGTTAAGGCCGAGGCCGATGGACTGATCAAGGCGGGAACGTGGTCACTTGATTCCGTTCGGGAAAAGGAAGATGTACGCGCCGAGGCCAAGCGCACAGGAGTGTCCGTTCATTTCGGGCAACTCATGACCATAGCATCCATTAAATTCTTCGAGCTTGCGCAGCATCTGCAAAAGATGAAGGGCAGGATCGTCTATCGAGGCGACTGCGCAAAGGATGAACATGGTGCTGCGGCGGTCTCTACCAGGAGCTAGGGGCAAACCCGACTTCGGTCCAAGGTTTAAATGCCTGTTTAGCATACGGTTCCTTGCCAGGCAATAGCTCATCTGCAGCTGATGCTGTTAAGGCTTACGTTCAAGCACTCCTGTCTTCAAAGTATAAGACCTGGATAGAACTTCCGCCTGAGCTAAGACCAAAACATTGGCGAGATAAGTTTGTTAAACCCGTAGTCCTCCTAGTTAAAGCCTTATACGGTCATCCTGATGCCGGTGGCCTTTGGGAGCAGCACTTAAAGAAAATTATCCGCAACCTAGGTGGCCAAGAGGTACCTGAATACCCCGGTAACTTCTTTTTCCCAGATACTAAGTTGTTGCTTTCCACCTATGTAGATGATCTCACGCTTGCTGGTCCCACTGACCAACATGATGCCTTCTGGGCAAAGCTGACATCCGTTGTGGATATTGAACCACCTGAACCAATATACCGAATTTTAGGTCGCAACCATCTAGTAATGCCATTGCCCAAGACCGAAGGTTCCGAGGAATGTGCTGCGTTTCGCGCACAAGAAGCCCTAGTCTTTGACATGCTAGATTATGCACACCAAACAGTTGACCTTTACAAGTCCATCACCAACACCAAAAGTTTGAAGCATGCTGCCACCCCTTTTGTCCCTGATGGTTCTGTCTCTGTTGAAGATGAAGAGGCTAAGGGTGAACTGGTACCCAATGCATGCCGCATTCTCATGAAGGCGTTGTGGCTTGGTCGGCTGTCCAGACCTGACATAATCAAACCTATTAATGATTTAGCCACTAAAGTGCAGTCTTGGTCCAGGGGGGACGATAAGAGGTTGTTAAGACTCATCCAATACATAGACTCTACACCCCAATACCGCCTAGTGGGTACCATCAAAGATAATCCCGAAGATCTTGAGTTACGTTTATACGTTGACGCAGATTTCGCCGGTGACGGTCTTAGTGGAAAATCTACGTCCGGTGGGTATTTAGTTCTATATGGGCCTAACTCCTTCTTCCCTCTTGCGTGGGTTAGTAAACGCCAAACATCCACATCCCGTTCTACAACAGAATCTGAGGTGGTTTCATTGGCTTATTCCCTTTACCAAGAAGGCCTGCCGGCCCTGCAACTCTGGGAGCTTCTCCTAGGGCGCACCGTGACGCTTAGAGTCTTAGAAGATAACCAAGCTACCATCCTGGTAGTACGTAAAGGTTATTCCCCTAAGCTTAGGCATATCACTCGCACCCATAAAGTAAATCTGTCCGGCCTTTCAGAAGTCTTTCGAGACGACTCCGCAGAGCTTGAATATTGCCAAACCGACCATCAAGCTGCCGACATTTTTACTAAGGCGTTGCCACCCCAAAAGTGGGCCCCGGCACTGCGCTTGCTTGGCATCCGCGTAGATTTAGGTAGTGAGCTGAAACCCAGGGAAGGGGCAGCTACCTAGCGCCCTAACCTGTATACTAGTTGCCAGCGTTAGATCGGGTAGGGGGGAGTAGAAATATTACGACCCCTATACCACCACTGTATATACTAGTATTAGCTCACTCCACACTGTAGCTATGATTCCAACTTACTAATGATGTTGTACAGTCATCGCAATTCCAACATTCAATGTATATAGCCATGTACATAGTAACGGTAGCATTATCCCCAATCCAGTCGGGTTTAATGCCATAATCCGTAATTACATGGCTCAAGTGCTTAGTACAAAATAAGTGCTTGTGATCTATGGGGCAAGGGAGATTAACTTGTGGTTTTGTGTTTTTCCCCTTGTTTCTCTATATACATATATAAAATCATCCCGTCATCTTATTAAGCATGTTATTAGTTAGGTAAACTAAATAAAACTCATCTAAATATGCATCCCCAACCTTGGATGGGTAGTTTAATCCTGTCGTTTTTTTCCCCCCTATATATATATATATACATGGACATATACCTAAACAGCAAGATACTTTTTGTGGACCAAAACTTGACCATGTATCTGTTTGAATCATCCCATCATCACTGTTGACCTAATCTTGTCTGGAGTAAATGTCCAAAAATGGAACATCAACCAACTATTGGGGATGTAATCTCCACCGGATGCGGCTGAACAGGTGCTTGAAAGATCTTCTAACAGATCACTTGGGATCACTATTTTTAAGGGTGATTCCGATCCATCTATTTGGGTCTTCAAAATCCCCCCAAACTGGTCATCAAGCTCCATCAAAATCCATGAAAAATCCATGAAAAACCCATGACAAATCCATGAACAATCCATGAAAATACATGAAAAATCCATGCAAAATCCAGGAACACCCATGAAAATCCATGAAAACCCATGAGCATCCATGAAAAATCCATCAAAATCATCAAAATCCATGAAAAATCCATGAAAATCCCAAGGTCTGCTGCGCCAGGTTTCCTTTGGAAGTGGCTTGTTGGCTCCGTGATCTGGGCGTGGTGGCCTACATTCTTCGTCTCCCTGGCCGCACCATGACATGGTGCTGAAAATTCCAATGTGAATGGCAGTTACCCATAGGAAAATGGGAAAACATAGGAAAACCCATAGGAAAACATAGGAAAACCCAGAGGAAACTGGAGGTTTAGCCTCTGGTAATTGAACAGTTTGCCATGGAACATATTCCATTTATATTTATAGATGATTTACATGAATTCAGAATGGTTATTTTCCATAGCTATGTTAAATTACCAAACCGTATTATCATAAAGTCACTTAGGCATACTTAGGCCATATAGATACCCTCTGGTAAACTAACATAACTATAGAAAATTACATTTTTTAATGGGTAAATAAACTATAAATGAGCCATTTTCCATAGTTTTTTGTATGTTCACCAGAGGCTATTCGATTGGTATTACCAGAAATTCACATAGTCTATTACCAACATTATAGCGTATTATCATTAGCATTATGATAATTGTTAGTGGTACTAAACATATGGTTATGATAACATTATTATAGTCATAGCAGTCGATTTATTATCATTATGATGCTAACATTGTTTGCTATATCTGTTGGTAAAACAACAATAAACCACCCATTTGGGAATGGTTTATACCACCAATAGAAATGGTGATGACTGGGGGGTGGTTTATGGTATTGTTATACCCACACTATATGGTTGGGCTTGCTTCATAATCTATGAATTATTGGTCATTCTGATTGTGTTTTTAATGTTAAATCCACAGTAAATCATATAGGGTCAATTGGCAACGCGTTGGAACCATAGCCATGTCCGGTTAACTTGCGTCAGGCTAAACCAGGGACTGTAGTGGATAGAGGGGATAGATATGATTTTCCATTGCAGACAGATGGCGCTCTTGCTTCTATTGACTCTACTGGATGAAACTTACTTTCAGTCAGGTCGCCTCCGATTTGGTGCTTCACTTGGGTTGATGAATTTGAGCTGAGTGACTCACCAGTCTCTAGTTATTTTCATCCATGATCAGCCAGATTTTGGTGAAACCCCGTTCCAACTCAGCCAGATTTGCGGCTTTGCCTGTTTCAACATTTGAGGATATCGCTTACGCAGCGAAGGCCACTTCTGGCCAGCGCAGCTGGAGGATTGCCAGTTGGCTCTGCAGATGATGCGCCACGACGCAACGCAGATGGGTTTTCAAGCGAGCAAGCGCCCTGGACACATGTGTATCTGGCATCTGGTAAGTCATCGGGGGTTTCAAAGATGTTCAAAGCCTTTCTATATTTTGGGATATTTGGTTTCACTATATGAATGGGATATTTAGTTTCACTATATGACTATGTGAGTTATCTTTCTGGTATGTTCCCAGCAATTGGATCCTTTTTTTGGAAAGTTGATCAGGCGCTGCTTAGCTCAGCTACGAAGCAAATCCATGACGGGTCGCGCTAGGGACCCCAAAATATAGCAACCCCTCTTTAATATAGAGTAGTTGTTTCGTGTAATATGGTAATTTACCCAGATGTTTATACTACTACTGGTTGGTGGTTTCAAACATTTTTTATTTTCCATATTATATATATATATGGGATAATCCTTCCCATTGACTTTCATATTTTCCAGAGGGGTTGAAACCACCAACCAGATTAAATTACTCCTATATAAGATGCCAGATTGACACGCGAAGCTCCCGCCTGGACCAGCTAGAGAATCACCAATCACTCTATATTCTTCTCAATGCCTCTTTGGGCTGAACAACCCTTTTCCAAAAGATCTGGTTTTTATGTGGCTTGTTATTTCCATCAGATATTCGTGCGGCCGTGCGGCACGTTTATCATTTGGAATTTCAATGGGAGATCTCCAGGAACCTAAAATGGAGGTACGTTAGTACCATATTTCTGGCCATATTTTCTGGTGATATTCACTTACATAGGCCTTATATAGGCCTTATATATGGAATCGGTACCTCCAATCAATCGGATCCTGAAGATCTCCCACTGAGGATCAGACCGTTGGATTTTCGGGGGCCACATTCGACCGATTTTCCATGGTTGAAACATGTTGAAACCATCAGCCAAGTTGCCAAGTTGGTTTGGTTATCTATGCCACTATTGCTGGTGAAATTGTATAAAATCCATTGATATCTAGTAAAATCTCATTGTTGATGGTTAAATCCCATGTATATATCCTTTTTCTTGATGGTTAAATAGTAGATGTAAAAGATCCATTAAAATCCCACTCTTCATGGCAAAAATCCCCTATTTTTGCTGATTAAATAGGCTATAAAATCCATGGAAACTCATCCTGTAGCTCTACCCCCTACCATAGCCCTGGCCCCAGGATCGGCGTTTTGGGCTTCTCCGCTGGGGGCCATTTGGCCTCCGTGGTGGCCACAGCGTCCGACGTGCCGCGACCTGCCTTTCAGGTGCTGATCTACGCCACGACGGATGTGGAAACTGGAGGAAAAATTCAGGGCGGGGAGGTCCGAAGAAGGTCATAACCTATACTGGTTGGTGGTGACTGGAACATTTGGATTATTTTTCCACATATTGGGAACAATCATCCCAACTGACTTTCATATTTTTCAGAGGGGTTGAAACCCCAAGCAGTATATATATATATATACAGAGAGAGAGAGAGTTAAGATAATGATATTAATGATACCTATAGTTAATGACAATTAATGATAGTTCATGTTGATCGTTGATGATATATTAGTCTTAGTTAATGATATATCGATATATGTTAATGATATATGTTCAAAGTGGGGAATTCCGAAGTCACCATGGTTGTTTCAATACTAAGTCATGGTCTAATGACTTGCATGATTTGGGGTACCCCCATGACTCAGGAAACCCCCATACAGGATGATATGGGGTTGTCAGAAGATGTGGTATATCCCCGCATGATGAATATCAAAATTGTCATGTTTGTAGTAGCGATGATCATAAACTCTCCAATTTGGTCACATCGTTTTTGAACAATTTTTTTGAGGGATAGAATGTGTTGCCGTTAAGTCTTTGTGAGAAGCATATGTTTACCTTGAGGGCCTTGAGGGGCTTAGTTATCTTAGTTAGTTGAATGACCGAAACCAATAGAGAGATGAACGCTATGACAAAGGATTGATCCATGGCTGGGTGCCGTCCGATGTCTGAGAGCATGGGCTTGAAGCTGTGGAGAAACCAGCAACACGTGGTGCCCGCAAGTTAGTTTGAGGATGATATGGTATGATATAGACATGACATAGGATAATGGAACCTGTTGCAATCACATCAAGACAACCGGAAACAAAAGTAACGGGGCCAGACATGCCGATGTCCATGGAGAATTGTCAGGGCCTCATCTCGGTGGATGTTTCATGATGTTTCCGGTCTTGATATGATATGGATTAAGCCACTCTCAGGTGGAACAAATGAGCATTCTGAAATAAGTCGAATCATTCGGGGGCAACCCTCCATAGCGAAGGAATTGTCCGCACACGTTGACACCACAAGCCAGTTAGATGCTATGTATGATATTTATGCTATTGGATGATTATGCCACTTTGGAATTGGTTGAGGAACTTACCATACCGGTGACTGAGACTATTTTCACGCAGATGTGTTGGTCTATGTATTGTGCGTAGTTTCATCATCGTTTGTGCCCTGAACTTTGCGCATGTTTCTTCATGACCTCTACTCCAGGATTGCTTGTGTATTATCATGCATTGTCCCATGTCCCCATACGTTTGTTCATGTTTATTCTTTTCTTGGTTCGATCCCATCGTAATTATCCCTTTAACAACCCACCACCCAGATTTCCTATCCTCCGCACCCCCAACTTGTAAGTTCGTTTATAAACCCCATGAACTAGTTTGATATATGATATATCTACCATAGATCCAACCGTTAACCTGCTTTGAAACCAACTTAGCTATCATAAATCCCCATGTTTGGTTAAATCCATGAAGAAAACCACCATTTTTCCCAGTGAAATCACCATTTTCAGATCCACTTTTTTTGGGGCCCTTAGGAAACTCCCGCGTGGGACCCCTGGACGGCACGGCTGGGTTTTCCGGGCGTGGCCTACAACACCGTGCCGCGCCTGGATCGCAAGACGCCACCCGTGTTCGCCGCGGTGAGTACTGAGGAGATGGTGGGGCGGGTGGGATGTGGGATGTGGAAGGTGTATAGATAGCCATGGAAAATGGTCCATTTATAGATTTATAGCATTTATAGATAGTTTACCCATTTATAGACGGTTTACCTTAAGAAGGTATGGTATATTGATGTACCCTCTGGTTATGACTGTTACATGTTACATAGCCTATAGAAATGGATGGCCCTAATCGAAATAGATGGTTTACGGAACTTAAAAATGGTGGATCTTTCCATGGCTATGTTAAAAAACCAGATGGTACCAGATTATGACTATTGGAGGAGTACCCCCTTAAGTAATAAACCATGGCTTGTTAATCAGGGGTTGACATTAGATATGATATAACATGTACCCTCTGGTAAATTAACTCGTTGACCCTGAAAATCCCTAATTGAAACAATGGAAACTCAGCAATTTTTTTCAACCCATCTGGCAGGGTCGTCATGTTAATTTACTGGTGGGTATAACGGTATAACATGTATAGCACACAAAAAAAGGATAGAAAATAAGTTGCTACATCACATGGGGTTCTTGGAGATGGCGATGGAGAGAGATCACATGGGGTGAGAAGTACAGTTTCTTTGGCAATCATGGTGATTCCGTGGAGCGAATGTGTATGGTTAGTCCATCGCTTCCAGCCATGGACTGGGTGGTAGCAAGCAAAAATGCGAGCACATATTAGTACATTATATATATATACCCATAGGATCCATGTATGGTATATATGCTAACATTGGGGGTATATTGATGGTAAATGTTACCATATATGGCATACATGGATCCTATGGGATATATATATATATATGTGTGTGTGTGTGTGCGTGAGTGAATGTGTATCATCATAAAAATAGTGAAATATGAAACATGTCCAGAAATCGATTCACCTGTCCTTTGTTGGGTGAGTTGAGCAGGACGATGTCACCTCCTATGAGGAAAATACGCGGCCATATTTGGAGGCTTGTTGCTTGGCGGCCAGGATTGAAGGGTGATCACTCGCCACTTTTACACTGTGACCTTCCGGTAATCAAACATGGCAACTGGAAATCCACTAAAAATGAAGCTTTTAATGGGAAAATCAACTATAAAGTTGTGATTTTCCATTGCCACGTTTGATAACACCGGAGAGTCGCCGGAGAGTAGTGGTATTCTAATTCCATCTAGTTGGTCTTTTTCCCTTTGCCAGACGGGTGACTTATGACATTTTATGACCCTTGGCACCTTGAGATGGCTCCATGTTCCAGGCTCGGCACGAGCCCATCCATCCACCAGCGGTTCAACCTCCAGAAACCCCACATCCAGCAGCTTCCAACCACCGACCAGACCTGGGCGCCCAGGTCGCCGCCATGGCGTGAAGACTGAGTTGGTCTATGCCAACATGGGGCCGCACGGCCATCCCATGTCCGACCTCTGGACTTCGCCCTGTGAAGCCTGGCTGCGCGCCAATGGCTGGGCACCAAATGGCCGCAGTCTGGTCGGGTCGGGGGGTGACCGGGTTGAGCCGGGTTGAGCCAAGACTTATAGCAGGGTTTACACGGGTTTAATGAAGGACGTTCGCTTGTAACTCCAATAGAATCATGTAAAATCATGTAAAATAATAACAGTGTCAGGAAGATTTCGGAAATCTGCCACCAAAGTGCAGATGTTGTTTCCTGGCCGCATTCCTATCCGAAGTTCCAGCAAGTGTATGTGGTTGTAACCCATTGCGACTCCATGTCTTCAGGATAGCCTTTGGTATTTACTGATGATCAGATGGGTTTGTCTGACAATAGGTTACTGCCGCCCCGATTCAATGGTGAATCATCGTGTTTCTTGCTAGAATATGCTAAAATGCTGTTTTCGTGATATACCGCATACCACATTTTCAGACGCACAATCTATCATATCAAGTTGGTTCTATATCCTGCTGTTTCCCTTTAATATCGCCACTTTAGTTGGTTATGGTTATACATTATAAATCCTCATTTTCCTTTGCAATTCTCAATAAAATCCCGGATCGGGTGCAGCTGTGCAGCTCCAGATCTAAGTGGATTAATATAACTTAGCAGACTTGCCATCATCTTCCAGGGCTTCCCTTAATTTGTATCAACTTACGGTTGCTTTTGTTCCCCATGGTTACCCTCTGGTAAACTAACATAGCTATGGAAAATCACCACTTTTAATAGGTAAATCAATTATAACTGGGCCATTTTCCATAGCTATTTTGACATAACCAGAGGGTATTTCCAAATATAGTCATCACTCTGGGTAAATTATAACGACCTCACTGCGACCTCACTATAATCATAGTTAGTAAGGGAAATCATCCCAAAATGGCTTTATTTCAGGTTAGTGAAATATTATAATTTACCCAGAATCACTGCACCCCCAGTGGCAGGAGAGAAGTTGGCTCAGGCCGTTACTGCTTTCAGTCCATTCCTTTCGACAAGCTTTGGCCCGGACACCTGGCGAGTGCGACGACCCTGGGATTTTTTGGGTTGGGATCTTGCTAAAGTGATGGTTTTTTGTTTAACTGGGACTGGGATTTGTTTGTTGTTTTTTCCCCACCTGCCAGGTGAGGGTTGTTAGATTTTATGTCAGTTGCCTGGTCCTCCTCGTCCTCCTCGTCCTCCTCCTTCTCCTCCTCCTCCTCTCGTTGTCCTCCTCGTCCTCCTCCTCGTCCTCCTCGTCCTCCTCCTGCTCCACTGCGATCCATGTCAGTGTGCCCTGCCGGACCTCAACCACGACCATCCACGTCAGTGTGCCCTGCCGGACCTCAACCACGACCATCCACGCCCAGTGTTCCCTGCCGGACCTCAACCACGACCATCCACGCCCAATGTTCCCTGCCGGACCTCAACCACGACCATCCTCGCCCAGTGTTCCCTGCCGGACCTCAACCACGACCATCCACGCCCAGTGTTCCCTGCCGGACCTCAACCGCGAGTATCCACGCCAAGTGTTCCCTGCCGGACCTCATGTAGGAAGATATGGGACAAAGAATGTGCAGAAGAAAGTTAGAAAGAATGTCAGAAAGAATGTCAGAAGATATGCCAGAAGATATGCCAGAAGATATGCCAGATAATATGCCAGATGCCAGATAGAATGCCAGATAGAATGCCAGAAGATTTGCCAGATAGAATGCCAGAAAATATGCCAGAAGATATGCCCAGAAGATATGCCAGATAGATATGTCAGAAGATATGCCAGAAGATATGCCAGAAGATATGCCAGAAGATATGTCAGAATATATGCCAGAAGATATGTCAGATAGAATGCCAGAAGATATGTTAGAATATATGCCAGAAGATATGCCAGATAGAATGCCAGATTGAATGCCAGAAGATATGTCAGATAGAGTGCCAGAAGATATGCCAGATAGAATGCCAGAAGATTTGCCAGATAGAATGCCAGAAGATATGCCAGAAGATATGCCAGATCATATGCCAGAAGATATGCCAGATAGAATGTCAAATAGAATGTCAGAAGATATGTCAGATAGAATGCCAGAAGATTTGCCAGTAAGAAAATGTATAAATGTCATGGTGGGGATCACACGAAGTAAAGTAATTTTTGTTTTGGGAAAATGATGGAAACATGATGGAAAATACAAGCTACCTCACGATCACCTCAATGCAATGGAAAAAAACATGAAAAAGGACCATCGCGAAATGGGCTTGCTTCAGGTTTGTGATTCATTGGCATTTGTCCCGAAATGTGGTAAACCCAATTTTACCAGAAAAGGATGATATATATATATAAACACTATTAAAAACTATAAACTATCCCCAATTCGAGGTTTCTTCTTGGGCTTTCATTTTGCCAAATTACCATCTTTCTTCATTGTTCGGTGACAGGGGCTCTGGAGTGATGGCACTACAAATCGCCAAATCGCTCACCAAGAAGTAGAGCTTCTTCTCCTTGCCGAGACCCTGTGATTTGTAACGCGTCCTCCTTTGGCCACTGTGTTACAATTGGTGCCCCCATTGTGACTGGAATAATTGATACCAACCACTCAACTACATGTCCCCAGGATGGCTGAAACATTGGTCCCCATGCAGCTGCTGAGTGATAAAAGACACCATTTGGTGATTTTGTTTGAGCGATCAATGTTGATCCAGATCCACAGGTTGCAAACGTTTGCTAATGATGTTCCCCAGGCACTCAGCCGTGCAACCCTGAGGCGTTCCGGGTCCAAGCCCTGCTGTGGCGCTTCTTGGGGTGCCTGACAGACCCAGAGGTCACGAGGGAAGCACAGCAGCTGATTTTGTTTTGGTCAACGTTTCAAACATTTTTGATGGGTAAATCATGACAAATCATATATGTGCAAATTTCTATAGCTATGTTAAATAACCAGTATGAACATTTGGTATCTTTTAGAAGGAGCCAGTGAATTTTGAGCAGAAGTAGTCATGCTTGACCCATATCCACCGGAGGATGTAGATCGAGGATGGTTTTTACGGATGATCATAATATGGGCGCCTTTCCTTGTGTTGCTCTGATGCGATTCCACCGACTGGTTCCAGAGAGTCCTACTGCAGTGTGTTGTGCTGATGTTTACTGACTGCCTTGGCATGTTGTTAAGTTGTCGGACCCAAATACTCATGGAAAACATCCCTGTGCTACTCAGATTCGAACGGCAAATTCAGGGAAAGCTTGGATGGCTAGTTTAGTACCAACTCATGATTTAGTCAATTTAGTCAATTAGCTTCTTATTGCCCAATTATATCACATTTTTTGCCACAGATGGGGATGCATTGTTGGCTATCATGCCAGTAATAAACAATATAATTGCATATCATTTAGATTGACAATTAATATGAACAATGAACTACATCATATACGTTGATATAGCTGCTTAATAACTATTAACAACCGTTTGTAAGCATGAAGTAACCATTAACATCTATACAACACTGGTTGGTGGTTTGGAACATTTTTTATTTTCCATAACATATGGGATAATCCTTCCCATTGACTTTCATATTTTTCAAGATGATTAAAACCAGCAACCAGTGTATATATATATATATTTATATGGGACATATTTTCCATAGCTTTTTGTATGTTTACTAGAGGGTATACTTTCATATTTGACATCCACATTTTGACTTCATCAGAGCTCCCCCCCTGCCAGGCCTGGCTGGAACCCATGTTCCTGGCAACGGCGGAAGTGGCGGCCTTTTATGGAGCAGGACAGCGAGTCAGCCGTTAGAGTAATATGGCCAGGATATATGTTGATTACCCTCTGGTTATTTAACATAGCCATGGAAAATCCATTAAAAACGGAGGTTTTAGTGGGAAAATCATCTATAAAACCAATTTTCCATGGCTATGTTAAATAACCAGAGGGTATATGTATATTCTAGTATATATTATACATATACACATATGATTGTTAATGTTGGTAAACCCAATGCCATAAACCATGCCCAAGTCATCACCATTTTTATGGGTGCTATGAGAGCCATCTCCAAATGGTAGCCGTCTATGACTTTGGGCTTCCCACATGAGTTTATTTCTGATTTTTGTTTTTTTTGTGAATGGGGGATGGGTCATATTTTCCATCACATGTTTAGTGGGAATGAATGGATTGGTTTAAGGGTTATGGCTGCCGGAAAGCCCCATGATCTTCATGGGAAAATCTATGGTTTCCGGTTAAACTTTTCCTTTAAACCAATCCATTGAGAACATCCATAGGCCCCAGCTGTGAGGATCGCTGGGAGCCGATGGCGAATCCACTACTTGGATGATTCAAGAGGTGGGGGGCCAGCTTGGGGTGTGGTGGTCAGCCTGGTCAGCTGGGTATGGCTTCACGACTGCAACTGGTAGCGGGCCGTGTTTTGGATGTTGCACGGTGACAAATTGAAGATGTTTGCCTCAAGATTGGTTCAGTATGCATGTTTCTTTTTCCCATGTTTGATGTTGTTCTTTTCCAATCAAGCAATCAGTTTCAGAATTGGTTCAGCTGGAAAGTTACAGGACCCCCCCCAACATCTTTGGTCCAAAAGTGTGAAAACCAACGGGTTCCGTGAAATGTTCGCCTTGTGTAAATGAATTTGTTCTGACCGCACCACGACATCACCATGGATTGTGACTACTATTGTTGAGGGTGACCACCTATAATTTGACATATGTTGATTTTACAATCTTTATCTCGGGTGAGTGTGTAGTTTGTTTCTATTAGTCACTCTCATCATAGCATTTGTCAATATTTATCATTTACGGTATCATTGCCACTACTCCTATCATTCTATGTTCTGATTATTGCTATCTATTGCTCTTACATGCTTTTACTATTGTTTGGCAGTTCATCCGGAATCCATTCAACCAAACACCCCAGGGTCCCAGAAAAGAAGGGCCCATTTACAGGGACCCTGCATATTTGACAAATTCAAATACTGTATATTTTTCTGTAGATCTACCATCTCTAGATCTACCAGACAAAACAAACACATTGACATAGAAATCACCATTATGTCATTACTATTTTCTATTGATCGGCATTTTTGGGTGAGACAAACCCATTGGAAATGCCATTGTTGATTGACTATTATTGGTGGTCATACTGATAATCCATAAATCCATACTTAAGTGAACAGGATACCTATTAGCCAACCAGTATTTCATGGGACCGGATAGGGTTATGATTCATGGCTCAATTGATTTGGCGGATTATGGATGATGACTTTGCAATGTTTGCAATACTCCTGATTGGTGGTGTGAAAAATATTCAACCCATTATATCACCATTATAATCATATTTAATCATCATATCACCACCATATCACGGTTACATCAGCATTAAATCCTACGAAATTGCAACTTCTGGTGGTATATCCATTCATATCATACCTCTAGACAACAAACACATGCTTAGATGTGCATCCCACTTAGTGGTTTATAATCAATATAACCCATACAATCCGATATTTGTTCGTGGGGATATTCCTTGAATCTAACTGGGGGTATTGGCCATTTACCCTCTGGTAAACTAACATAACTATGGAAAATCACAATTTTTCATGGGAAAATCCACTATTAATGGCCATTTTCAATAGCTACGTTAAATTACCAGAGGGTACCAAGTGGGACATTCACCCCGAGCTGACAACTCCTGGATAAATCTGCAGCACTTCGCTGCCAGGACGGCCTCTTTCGCAGCTCTTCCAATGTGAACGCCTTGCAGCCCTGGAACCGCGAGCGGTTGCACCTGCAGCAGGGGGGGCCCGGTTTGGGTGAGCCAAGGGCCAATCAGATCACAGGGGAAAATGTGGTTTATGGCTTATATAATTGGGACTACAATATGCAAATGTTAGGATAATATGTCTTAATTTGGTATTTTCATGTGGATTAAAGTGTGGTATTTATGGCATATATTGTTGGATTATTGCGTATTATTGCTGTTGCGAATTACAATTTTGGAGACATGTCATAAACCACCGCTATTGGGGATGGTGATTTGTTCTTATTGACCTCCATTCATGTCTATCAATTAATGAGAAATCAGCTGGTGATGTTTGTGACAGGGTGGGCGCACCTCAAAGCAATTCGTAAATTCTCAGTAAGGAATTCTCAAAGTTTCATGACGATTTCTGACTTAGGATGATCATTCTTTTCTGCTTTCAATCATGGTTTTGTTTTCCATTTACCCTTTGGTAAACGTTTACATTTAGCTATGGAAAGATCCACCACTTTTAATGGGTAAACATCAACTCTTTCTATGGCCATTTTCGATAGCAAACTGTGAAGTTAGTTTACCAGAGGGTATATCCCATGACAATATCCCATTGAATCACTATTTTAAGTCCCATTAAATCACTATAAATCCCATTGAATACTGGGGTTGAAACCACCAACCAGTTATTAATATCCCATTGAATCACTATTTTAAGTCCCATTAAATCATGATTTTCAGAGGGGTTCAAATCAATCACCAAGCCGTCAATGACCAGAGTTTTCCACGCCTTTTGGATGATCCCAAAGAAAGGCGCCCCCCCCAGGAAGATAGAACATTGATGTGCCACTATTTTAAGTTGGATTTGTTGTTTTCTATCGTTTTTGTTGCGCATTTTTTGGGGGGTTCGATATTATATCATATTCTCTGTTATATGGTAACATGTATGTACATACCCCATTAAGCATCCATGAATCTCCATTGAGTATATCCCAATTATATTACCATATATGAGATCTTGTGAGACATGATTATGAATATTAAGATTCTGAAAATGATCCCATATTATCTCTAATATTCAGTGTTAATATTGTTATACTATAGTATGGAATAAATAAACATATGGATTCAATATCTATTATATATGTTCTATTTCATATCAGCTTTACTATCTATATGCTGATTACTATGGCCTTACAGAATCCATTCCAATGATATCACCATCCATCCATCGTCCCGAGACTGGAGCGGTCCCGAGATCCCAAAGATCGAACTGCGGATGAGGCGCCCTCGGTGAGTTGAACGAGCGCGGGGGTGAGCTGAAACCCGTAGACGAGTTCCCCAACAATTTTAATATTACCGTACTACCGGGTGTGGTAAATTCTATATAATATAATTAGTAGTGATCATCATATATTATTGTGATTAATATGTGTGAACTATTTATAATATAGTTGCAGTATTGATGGTATCTAAGGTGAACTATATATTACTTGATATGGCGATTATCGGATTTAATCTATTTATGGTGACAAAATTGCTAACCAGCTTTTCAAAGATGATCCTCACAAAAATGATGGAATCCAATACACGAAGCCTGACCCTTTGGTAATCAAACCAGGCGGCAGAAAATCACCCATTGATAGGCAAGCTTTTCCCGTTATGAAACCCGAAATGACAGTCAGTCCAACACAGAACGAGCAGTTCTGTTCCTTGGTAATGAGCTGACATCAGGGGAGGTTAGGTTTATGCAAACACCAGCTGCGCAGCTTTGTTCAGGATCCAGGATTCACCCCGCATGCCTTGGTTGCTTGGGAAGCCACCAGACTCAAAGTTTTCAGCACTTAGCCTGATCTTTTTGGGGACCTTTGTTGGTATGAACCATCCCAGACTTGGACAATTTATGACCCGTGAATTGTGATAATCTGCCCAGATGGACGTGAGATTGTCACGTCAGAAGAAAAGGATGGCCCCGAAGACAAGAACTCAACCCTTTTATAGATTTTATAGGCTGTTCAACTTGTGAAACTGTGAATCCCATGCACCCAAAGCGCCAGTTAAGCATTGGTTCAAAGTGGTTCAAAGTAAGATGCTCTATACTGATTTCTCGAATTGCCGATTGAAGTCCCGTTTGTTCCTTAAGACATACTATTCCGGAAAAAATCTGGGTAAAATGTTGTTCCCATTCTCCATGGAATCTACTGGGACCGGCAGCCCCGTTCCCACGTTCCTCCCGTGCTGCCTGCACGAACCCCCTTTCGGTCGGGATATATCGACATGGTATGTTGATTTATCTGAGGGTATTTGCAGAGGATTGTGAGATTTATATTATAATCTATAGTAGATTTGTGGGGATTCATATCGACATGGTATTAATTATAGTGGAAAAATCTCACAATCAATGGGCCAACAATCGGGATACAATCATCATACCAGTAGAATGGACATCCATCAATGGGGATACAATGGGGATATAACGGGATATACAACCAACAACATGAGGATCATATTTGAATAAATCATATTGGGTTTTGATGGGACTTAATAGGGGGTATACCCGGCAACAGTGGATGAAGATGATGGGAATTGAACATTGAACGGACAACTAATTTTACCCTGTGGTAATTTAACAGTTTGCTATCGAAAATGGCCATTGAAATAGTTGATTTACCCATTAAAAATACTGGTGTTCCATAGTTTTTTGTTAGTTTACCAGAGCGTAAGTTTAAGGGATTTCGACGAACATCGTGCTGCTGGAATTGCTAGGGAACGCCTGGCTGGAGCCCCATTTCCCGTCTCTTCCTGGGGCTGCGGGCCCACACCCACTTCGATGAATTAAATATCCCCACTGATATATTGGGTTATATATGGATTATATGGATTATATATGGATTATATATGGATTATATATGGGTTATACATGGATTATATATGGATTATATATGGGTTATGCATGGATTATATATGGGTTATGCATGGATTATATATGGGTTATACATGGATTATATATGGGTTATACATGGATTATATATGGATTATATATGGGTTATACATGGATTATATATGGATTATAATATATATATATATATATGGATTATATATGGGTTATACATGGATTATATATGGGTTATACATGGATTATATATGGATTATATATGGGTTATACATGGATTATATATGGATTATATGGGTTATACATGGATTATATATGGATTATATATGGGTTATATATGGGTTATATATGGATTATATATGGATTATATATGGGTTATATATGGATTATATATGGATTATATATGGGTTATACATGGATTATATATGGGTTATATATGGGTTATATATGGATTATATATGGGTTATATATGGATTATATATGGATTATATATGGATTATATATGGATTATATATGGGTTATACATGGATTATACATGGATTATATATGGATTATATATGGGTTATATGGATTATATATGTATATGGATTATACATGGATTATATATGGATTATATATGGGTTATACATGGATTATATATGGGTTATGATGGGTTATATATGGGTTATACATGGATTATATATGGGTTATACATGGATTATATATGGATTATATATGGGTTATATATGGATTATATATGGATTATACATGGATTATATATGGGTTATACATGGATTATATATGAATTATATATGGATTATTTATGGATTGTATATGGATTATACATGGATTATATATGGATTATATATGGGTTATACATGGATTATATATGGATTATATATGGGTTATACATGGATTATATATGGATTATATATGGGTTATACATGGATTAATATGATTGGGATATATGATTATATATGGGGTATATATGGATTATATATGGATTATATATGGGTTATACATGGATTATATATGTATTATATATGGGTTATACATGGATTATATATGGATTATATATGGGTTATACATGGATTATATATGGATTATATATGGGTTATATATGGGTTATATTTGGATTATATATGGGTTATACATGGATTATACATGGATTATATATGGATTATATATGGGTTATACATGGATTATATATGGGTTATACATGGATTATACATGGATTATATATGGATTATATATGGGTTATGCATGGATTATATATGGGTTATGCATGGGTTATATATGGGTTATACATGGATTATATATGGGTTATACATGGATTATATATGGATTATATATGGGTTATACATGGATTATATATGGATTATAATATATATATGGATTATATATGGATTATAATATATATATATATATGGATTATATATGGGTTATACATGGATTATATATGGATTATATATGGGTTATACATGGATTATATACGGATTATATATGGGTTATACATGGACTATATATGGATTATATATGGGTTATACATGGATTATATATGGATATATATATGGATTATATATGGGTTATACATGGATTATATATGGATTATATATGGGTTATACATGGATTATATATGGATTATATATGGGTTATACATGGATTATATATGGATTATTATATATATATGGATTATATATACATGGATTATATATGGATTATATATGGGTTATATATGGATTATATATGGATTATATATGGGTTATACATGGATTATATATGGATTATATATGGGTTATACATGGATTATATATGGATTATATATGGGTTATACATGGGTTATATATGGATTATATATGGGTTATACATGGATTGGATAATATATATATATATATGGATTATATATGGGTTATACATGGATTATATATGGATTATATATGGGTTATACATGGGTTATACATGGATTATATATGGGTTATACATGGATTATATATGGATTATATATATACATGGGTTATACATGGATTATATATGGGTTATACATGGATTATATATGTATTATATATGGGTTATACATGGATTATATATGGATTATATATGGGTTATACATGGATTATATATGGATTATATATGGGTTATATATGGGTTATATTTGGATTATATATGGGTTATATATGGATTATACATGGATTATATATGGATTATATATGGGTTATACATGGATTATATATGGATTATATATATATATATGGATTATATATCGGTTATACATGGATTATATGGATTATTATATATATATATGGATTATATATGGGTTGTACATGGATTATATATGGATTATAGACTCACTAAGTGGGATGCACATCCAAGTCATCCAAGTTTTTTCATCTCGCCAGCTGCGCACGGACGACTCCCGGGACGTGCTGAGCAGCGGCATGGCGACGCCCAAACTCCAGCCCTTAGAGGCGGGTGGGGCGGGTAAAACATCGGGGGGATGAGGAAAAAAACTGTGGTTTAAATATGTTTAATTAGTATGTTTTAATGGTATAATATAGGTTTAAGATGTTCATAATCATTATTAATCTTAACCCTGAGGTGGTTTATATAAATGGGTATGGGTCAATACCTATAGATACCATTACTATAGTGGGATGAACATCCATAAAATCCATTTACCAGCTATGACTTGGGGTTCACTAGGTACCAGGGTTTTGACCCATCCCCAAATATGTTTAGTATGTTTTAATGGTATAATATAGGCTTTAGATGTTCATAATCATTATTAATCTTAACTCTTAGGTGTATGGGAAACCAACATGTTTACTCAACAAAAAGTGGTGTATTACCAGCCGAAAGCTTATATAGATATTTCCAGAATATCTAAGATTGGCCTTGTGACTAACCTAGCAATCATGGGCATCATTCGGGGGGGTTCTGGCAGAAATCAGGATCTTTCATGGGTGACGTTCATCGGGTTCCTTCGGTTTCATCGAGTTGAATGGAGATGGGTTTCACTGATCAATCAGAACCCGTTCTGAAGCTTGAGATTTAAGCAGCAACAGTTGCCAGCATAGAGGAGTTTCTTTTTAAGTAAACCATTGTAAACTTAAATTGGTGCTGCTGATCTTTTTACTGTATTTCAGGTTGGGAGCGGATTCTGCCCAACCTGGACCAAGTTTACTGATTTTGCACGGTTCTTCCACGTTTGTTTGAGGACCAATATGCCTGATGACTTTGCTGATCAGCCGTGCTTTATCATTTTAGAAGGAAACTTGCCATGTTGTCAAATTGTCGAGGATTACTTACCTTGAAGCTACTCACACAGACAAACCCGAAAATGCCAATGTTCAGTGGACTGATCATGACATTGCAGACTAAAAGAAGCTGCCATGTTTTCGCTTCCAAATTTTTGCTGTCCAAAATTCGGGCCCATTCATCACCACGCGTCAGCTCATACTGGCATGCCAATTGTTTGTAAGCTGAGATGGTGATCCATTCATTTTCTTGGTGCTTCTCTTTGGCCCTCTTCAGATGGGCTTTAGACCACTCAGAAATTCAGGTCTCGGCTCTGTCTTGGCGCCAGGACGTTTTCTGGCTGAACAAGTCCGGGCCCTTGTCGGGTTGGCGGTCAAGATTTGGGTATCCCGGTATCCCCAATTAGCTGGTACTGAAATAATGAACAATAAATAAGGGATCTTTTTTGGGAAATGCCATGGACATACCTTGATTCATCATAGTTGATCATTTAGCATGATTCATGATCCGAACTTGGTGCTTCGTGCGGTAAATCCTGTGCAATAAATTGCGGTCTCAGTCACCTACCATCTGGTTATTTAACATAGCCATGGTATAGATGGCCCATGAAAATAGATGGTTTACCGGTTTACCTATTAAACATGTTTTTTTTCCATGGCAAACTGTTCAATAACCAGAGGGTACATTCGTAGCCCAGTTGTAGAAGTGGCGCGGCTCGTGCAGCCAGGCTGGGGCTACGATTTCGCTCGCAGGTGAAATCGAAAAGGTCGGATTTCGGGGATTCGTGACGTGACCTTTGGGTAGCAGTAAGGCAACATAGCTGTAGAATCCCAGAGAAGGACAGTACAATTCGACTACCCGGCCTGGTAAACGTTTACAATACTAACAAAAAACGAACTGGAAAGATCCACCATGCTATTAATGGGAAAACTCACTATTTCAATGGCCATTTTCAATAGCTGTGTTTGTTTACCAGAGGGTAAAATAAGAGATCAATTATTGATGATGTTCTTTTCGATCGTTTTGGCGGTTGCTACATGGAAAATCCACCATGCACGTAGATCGTTTCCCCTTTGTATGTTTGCTTTTGGCGTACTTCCCAGAGAACTGATATGATAGAACTTCTCATAGAGTCAAGTAAAACTGGCGATGTGAGCAGTATAAATTTGTGTATGCAGCAATTTGCAGCCTATCTTACGGGGTACGAACACGCATAGGTGAAGAAAAACAGACTGTCGGTGCATATGCAAAAAGTGTCTCAGATGTCTCAGTCCCTGCAATCCGTTGCTTTGGAATCGGGTTTTGTAGAGAGGTGATCTCATGACTATATGACTGCGCTTTCTCACCGGGTTGCCCAAAAAATCGCATGATTGGTCAATCCGCCGCATGATTGGTCACAGCCAAGTGGTAGTGGCTGTACTGACTGCGAAGCCTCAGCTTGACGTTTTGATCAAGTTCAAATAATATAGTTGATCCTAGTGGAAGAATGGTGTATTTTCAAACCACTTTAGGATTGCCCCCAACTAACTCTGGTTGGTGGTTTGGACCATTTTTTATTTTTCTATATGTTGGGAATTTCATCATCCCAACTGACTTTCATATTTTTCAGAGGGGTAGGTCAACCACCAACATGGTTGGTAATTTAACATAGCTATTGAACATAGCCATAGAAATAGTTGATTTACCCACTAAAAATGGTGGATCTTTCCAGTTCGTTTTTTGTAAACGTTTCCCAGGCCGGGTACCCCCCAACGAACTCCCCCCGGTTCAACATGGTTCAACCATCGACCAGGCGGCATTTGGTGGCCAGTCAACTCTACGAGCTGCGCCGGGAGAGCCCAGCGTGCCTGGAATGGCTGGTTCGTTTTTCGGAATCCGAAAAATCTGGGGAAAAGAATCATAAACTTTACAGTAATATACTTTAAACCGCCCATTTAAGGGAATGGTTTATCATATTATTTGGGAATGGGTTATAGTTAATATTTATATCACCTATAGAAATGGTGATTGGGGGATAGTTTATCATTGTTTTACTCACATTGATAGTCTTATTTGGTGAATTTATCTGTAGTTGATCCAGATATGCGCGTTCAAAACTATTCATGTTTCGATGTTGTCGATGTTGTCGATTTGTTTCGATTTGTCAGGGAGCTCACGACCATACGGACCTTGGGGGACAGACAGAGAGAGTGGTCATCCTTGTTGGTATTATGTAGTTTCAATCTTTTTCGAGTGCCAATGGCGCGCGTATATTCTGGAGATGTATTGAGTGGATCCTTTTTTGAGGACGATGGCTTGCATGAAGAAAGATATCTCATGATATATCTATCTGAAATCTATCTGTATCTAATTATATCAATATATTATATGTGTGGAAAGATCTGAAAGATATAGCATACTTGCACATAGATAGGTCTGTTTTCACACGCATGTGAATATAAAGATTATAAAGACTGATGACAGAGTTAGAGTATTTGACGCAGATTTCAATCCTTGTATTTCTTCTGCCAATACTCCCAGCGCCGAGGTTTGGACATTTGCCGTGTGTCCCTCTTCAGGGTTCCCACATCTCGAGATTTAGCAGCTTGGATGAGGTTCTGATGGCGCCAGATGTTTTCTCTCTGTGTGTTTGGCTCCCATCCGTACGATCAAAAGGATGGGCATGTAGACATGCCATGAGATCCTTCATGGATCTTCATGGTACATTGATTTTTTTGTGCCGTCGCTGGATTTTCAGGGGGGCTTTCACTCACCCAACTTTTTTTCCCAGGTGGGTTGGGGGAAGATTGGGTAACCATGAGCAGGAACGACAACTGATGGTCTTTCATGATTCATACTTCGTTCTTATATGTTCTTAATTGTTCTTATCATCTTCTGTATTTCATATCAGTGATCTCCAAAATAAATCCAAATACAGTAATTCATCAAACAAATGGCATATGTCCATCCTCCCAGCCAACATAGACCCTGAAAACCTCCAATTCCAAGCGCCAACTCACAGCAGCGTCATGTTGTTTGAAGGGAGGGGAGTATACCATGGAAATACCATGGAAAATGCTATAAGATACCAATAGATAGCACATATCAATACATACTGGTTGGTGCTTTGGAACATGGCTTTTATTTTTCCATTCAGTTGGGAATTTCATCATCCCAACTGACGAACTCATATTTTTCAGAGGGGTAGGTCAACCACCAACCAGCTTTTCTCAGTGGATATGATAGAACCAAATCACCACGGATCTGAAATCATCAACGTGTCTTTGACGGATGGGAAAAACCTGGAAAAACCTGGTACCAAAGTTACAATCCCACATCTCTAGAAATCATAGTTAACAAATGTAGATTACAAATGGGGAACTATCCCAAGATCTCCTAGATCTCCTTGTTTCAGATTGGTGAAGTATGTGTTTGTTTCTCTCACATGTACCTATAGATATCTGGACCTCACTGTTTCCAACTCAGTTTTAATGCAAATTATATATATATATGTGATACATACACGTATGATTACATATAGCTATCATAATAAGATGCAATGATTATTTACACACACACACATACATATATATATATATATATATTTATATACATACCACCCCAAAAAAAAACAAAACGAAACCTGGTTGGTGGTTTGGAACATTTTTTTTGAATTTCATCATCCCTAACTGACTTTCATATTTTTCAGAGGGGTTGAAACCACCAACCAGAAACACTGATCATATCTCCCTCTCCCAGTGATCGACGCGAGGTCCGCCTCAGTGCTCTGGATGCCTTGGACAGTCGCGAGAGCCGTGCGGCTGGCGAGCTGCAGGCCCGGCTGCATGTTCATAGCAACACCAATATGATCAATGGGAATTTCAGGAGCCTTATATATGGTAGGTACCTGCAACTTAGGTTCCTGAAATGGCCATGGATATGATGTTATGGATGATCAAATAATAGTAACACAAATGTGATCTTATAGATAATCCATAATAATCAATGTGGTGTCATAGTGCATAGCACTCAATCAATAAGGGACTAATGAAATAATGAAACTGAAAATACAATGGATTTATTTGTGAAAAGTTTTGTTTGTTAAGTTTAGATATCTGATAGTAACACCTCTTGGTGATGTATAAAATGGATGATCAGTCAGTATTCACGAGTCACGATTCATAGGGACCAAGCGACACAGGATGATATGTTTAATAGAGTGCCACTATCGGTCACTAACATTCAATGTAGCACTCAATGTAGCACTTCAATGTGACTAACTAGTCATAGGAAAATTTCCATGATAGTGGTTTTACGCATAGATTTTAATTGTGAAGATAACAATCAAGGATATGGTTTAACACTCATAAGGGGATAATGTCACAGTGTCTTTCTATATTCAAAAATTATGATAAACTCAAACCACCCCATTAACCAACCATTTGGAGGTCATTTTACATATATAATCTCAAATAAATAAACTCTATTGGGAATGGTTCGTTTTTGGTTTTGCCACATCATATGTTCATAAGGGGTACCAGGGGTGCTAGTTATATTTACATGCGCACATGTATATCTATGTCCATACATAGGTATATAGATACATGCATAATATACACACACACATACGTATATATATATAGTTATGCCATGTATGCGGATGTATTAATAGTCGGATCTTGTTCCGACGGGTTCCCATTGCTGTGTCAAGAGCCTAAGTCAACATTGCGGATGCATTGCGGATGATCCCGCATGGGAATTTAGCCCCATCCTTCTGAGTGTTTCCTTAGCCTTCCCATTTCCTGTTTGAAGGGTATCACTTTTGCTCCTTCCAAATGCATTTTCATGTCGCTAGAAAACTCATCTCCTTAGCTTCTCTCTTGTTATCGTGAGCTAATTTTTGTCTCATACCGATACCTACATTCCCATGAAACTTATCATTAGGAAACGTCGATCGATGCCCATCTTTGATGGATAAAATTCACCATCCCAAGGAGCTTCGCGTTTCGCATTCACCGCAAGGAGCTCTACCATCGATACCAACGCGAGATCGAGGGTGATGTCTTGGTACAGCTTGAGCTGCGTCGGGGAGCCAGGGGTGCCATGTGCAGCATCTCATCTTCCAAGACTTCAAAAGTTGGATAAGTTGGTTTCCTCTGAGGTTTGTAGTTTCAACGAGTTTTTTCACCTTTAGTAAATTGCCAAGTTAGGTGGCCCCAGCTGACTAGCCCCCTCCAGATGTGTGGCAATTTTGATGGGGACCATCTCCACATGTTATGGGCTGATGTTTTGTACTCATTATAATTTAAGCACAAACATATGTATATATTTGACTGTGCAACACACACACACATATATATACATACATACCCATATATATATTATATATATAATGCATCTATATACACATATATATAATGCATCTATAATATATATATATATATACATGTATACATGTGCGCGTGTCTTCGATTTGATGTTCGTTTTCTCAAATCCTTCTAGATCCTAGTCTCGTCGCAGGGTTTCTTAGAGAGGAACCATTGAGGTCTGGACGCTTTGGTGGAGCACGGCAAGACGCTGCGTGCCACACTCTTTGAGGAGTTCCATCTGTAGCCATTCCTGGCTTCGGTGGATCCATTCCGTTGGAAAGATGTGGTGCGCATTTTTAAAACATCTCCATAGAAATAGTGGATTTTCCCATGAAAAATGGTGATTTTCCATAGTTATGTTAGTTTACCAGAGGGTAGGACTAAAGTGACTAAAGCTTGGTTGGGGGAGCCTTTAGCATGGTTTAACAATCATCTTTGTCAACTCCCATTCGCCTCATTTTGGATGCAACAATCGCCCAAGTGATGTCCCAACATCGATGAAGTCATTCTGAATCATCCCCATGACATGTCAAAGTGTCAGTAAACCATAGTAATGTCAACCCTGGATTAATAAACCCTTAGGCTGTTTAATTATGTTTAATTGGGGTGGTACCATTTAAGTATTGGATTAACCATGGTTTATTAATCCGGGGTTGACATTAAGTAAACCTTGATTTGCTTTTGAATGAGTCGTTTTTTGGCCATTTTTCAAGAACATCTTCATCACAATAAAAAAAATATATATATATACAATATACAGACAGCGCGAAAAAACAGCGACTATCAGCAGGAATGACCGATATGCAAATCATATCAAATAATGCTGAAGACCTTGCCTCCAGCACCGGCTGAAGGAAGAATCCAAGGAGCGTAGCAACTCCTTGCCACAAGCGCGTGAGGCATATCGGAACCACCTGCAGGAGCGGTTGACCAACTCCGCAAGGGTGGGCAATTTGACGTAACCTTGGCCGATCACAGGTTTGAGGGGATCAAAAGGTGACGTTGTATTATCAGAGAGGGGACGAGCCCAAGAATTTTCTCATTGAAGAAAAAATAATGTGCTTTAGCCAGGCATGTATGAGTTAAAAGCATGGATAGTTAGTAGCTCCGACACTACTGAGACAGATGAGTTCTAAGATCTCTGTGGTTTCTTGATGGAGAACCCAAGGGACGAGTTCGTTTTTCATGCCTGCGATTCCAATCACAAGCAAAGTCACGAGCCGTGCGTCAAGCCATGGCAAGCCTTTTGGATGACCATGGATGGTTTCTGTTGCTTGTAGGATGGATGACGTTCCATCACATCCTCCTGTTCCCATTTTTTGGTGCAACAAAAAGAGATGCCTGGCACTGTGTAAACAACGCAACCCCATTGGATTTGCTGCCGGTTTCTCATTATATACTGGTTGGTGGTTTGGAACATGGCATTTATTTTTCCATATATTGAGAATTTCATCATCCCAACTGACGAACTCATATTTTTCAGAGGGGTAGGTCAACCACCAGCATGGTTGGTAATTTAACATAGCTATTGAAAATTGCCATTTATAGTTGATTTACCCACTAAAAGTGGTGATTTTCCATAGTTTTTTGAAACCACCAACCAGTATCTGTTCGGACACTGTACCGTATCCCATTGGTCCATGTCGGATCTTCCCCGGGGAGTTGGCTCCTGGTCACAGGAGCGACAAAAGCTTCGTTCCAGGCTGGACGGGGTGTTTTCTCATCGAAGCCGCTGAGGATTTACTGCTCAAATTGACAGTTGGAGTTTATCGAATTACCGTGTCCATGACATTCCATGACTTTGGATTCGAAATTCAAAAGAACATCAAAGTACTGATCGTTGTTCCATCCTAACAAGCTGGATGGTGGCCCTTGACTCGACTCCATATTCTCGTTGTGGCTCCGCCAGGCGCGATGAAAAGGAGGCACATTTCGAACAGTTCCTGGGTTCCAAGCCGGTCACCCACAAAAAAAAACAGATGCAGAAACCAACTGAGAGGGGGTTCATTTTGCATCCGAATCCACATACAAAAAATGGATCTTATCGGGATGGTTTACTGTATTGATTGAAAATTTCATCCTTCTTATCTATTGCAGTATCCATTTGGTATAGGGCTTGGAGACTCATATCCATCATGTGAGTCTTATCAATGTCCATGGCTAGACTAGCACTTTGATAATCTTCTGTCCAGAGAATCTAGCCGAAGATGGAAAGAACAATTCACATGATGATTTGAAATCTATAAATCCGAGGTCCAAGTGCTGAGAAGGTGCAGTTGAACCTTTAAAATCTTGAAACAGCTTGGTCATTTTTGCAGTTGAACCTTTTGCAGAGGCATGTTCCATACCTAAACGATTTGGACTGCGTATCCCACCGTAACCGCTCCGTTTCCCCGAGGATCTGTAAGAACCTCTACGCCAAATGGCGTGAACTGAGGCAGATCCGACAGGCGCGTCCGAAGCTGTGAAGCTGAACTGAAGCATTTTTCGTGTTGACATGATTTGACCGTAGTCGTGTTGCCGTGTTGGTGTGTTGGTGTTCTGTGTATTTCTGTGTTATGCGTTGGCGTTGATCTTGTTCGTATGTTTTATCTTGTTTTTGTTGTGGTTGTTCTTTGGTTGTTCTTTTTGAGTTCGCTCTATCATGTTGTTGGGAAGCCAGTGCTCGAACATGTTTGAGACATACCCACACAGATGGTCAAAGTGACATTGTTTGCAATATTGTCCGTCTTTGACGTTGAAAACATGTTGCACGGGTTGCTGTGGTAGTAGTGTCATCACTATATATTGTGGTTCGCTTCCATTAGCAGCCCATGTTAGGCCAGTTCCAAGCCCATTTATACAAAGGGTATTGAATGTATTGAACCATCTATGTATCTCTGTTAGCTGTAGGATATGATATGATATAGATATAGATATAGATATATACATAGATAGATAGATAAATAGATAGACAGACAGACAGACAGATAGATAGATAGATAGTAAACTATATCATGATATAAAACTTATGATATCACCATGTTATTTTTGTGCTGCATATTTTTTGTCCCCTTGCTGTTCCAAGCTTCATGGCATAGGACTACGGCTTCACATCCACACCTTGGCGTCTCACCGCACAAGCGCAGGAAGGGGGTACACTGGGTACACCAAGTCCGGCAGGGATGGTCAATCACAGGAAACCTATCAACCAGCTAGTTTGAATTATTTTTTGGGAGATATTCCATAAAATTGAAATATCATGCAATATCATATGAAAAAATATGTTTTTATAATCTTGATGAGATGGGAAAATGGGTTATTTTGAATGGGGCCAATTCATCAAGAGCGATGATCCAGGAGCATGAGTCCAGCAGCGATGGCGAGCGCAAGGCCAGGTTTTCTCAGAGTGAAATGGACAAGACGTTCATCTTTTGAATGGTTGATGTTGGAGAAAACCATTTTGGGATTTTGGGATCTTGAAGGACTCGTAGATGAGGTACAGCCAAAGTCCGCCAAACCCATCCTAGTGCCCTCTTTCAAGTTGCGCCATCACTGGGTCACTGGGCCATTACCCAACGGTGGCCCCAGTAACGTCTCTGGGTGTCAAAAGGCATCATGGATGCCGCAAATCCAGGTTCGATTGCGGGGAATCATCCCCTTTTATGGCCCCCAAAAAAATCAGGTTGGTGAAATATGATCATTTACCCAAATGTATGTTCTGATAAAAACAATATGCATGTTTAATATGAGTTTTACACATAGTTATTTACCCTCTGGTTCTGACTAACAGTTTGCCATGGTATAGATGGCCCATAGAAATAGATGGTTTGCCTATTAAAAATGGTGGATTTTTCCATGGCTATGTTAAATAACCAATTGGTATATTTCAATGCCTTGTTTTACTTTCTCTAATCATAGCGTAAATGCACCGTTGTGTGCTTGGATCCCAGGCTTGTCGCTGCCACGCTGCCAGGCCAGAAACATTGATGCGGAGGTGGAAGAGATGAGTTATTTGCAAGGCTGGGGGCCAGCACCCACTGAATTTGGTTTATAAAGCCAGAACCATGGTGTCTCCTGCAAAAAGTGGGAAACGCCATCAAAATCGTAGGAAGGACTTTTTCTGATATTACCAAATTTACCAAGACAGTGGAAACATGAACTTTCTTTGGAATATAATTGCCTAGACCCTCCATGTACCCATAAAATGGTGTTTTGCACTTGCACCATAATTTTCAGTACTTTTATGTTGATGGTATTTGGAGGGCCTAGGTATATATATATATATATCATATATCATATATCATATATGTACGCGATTGTAAAAGTCACACCTTTCCCGTTGATCGCATGTCACTGTGAGACGAAAATCTCGCTGGAGGCCTGCCTGTCGAGCGTTTGAGGGTGTGGGACTCTGGGGACTCCAGTGGCATTGGGAGAGTTTGGGACCAATCAAGGGATCACCCCTCCAGCAGGAAATACCACCTGGATTTTTTGGAGAAAATATATGGGAAATCACCAACTTTCATATCAAAATCATTCAAAATCTACCTTGAAAAAAGTCCTGGTATATCTATCAATGCCATGGCATACTTAACTTTCCAGCTCTGAAACTTGGTGATTTCCCATATATTTTCTCCAACCAAACGGGATGATCCCCAAGTAACTCAATGATGGGTTGGTTTTTCAATACCCGGGTACCGAAGATTTCGACCAGACTTTGCCAGGTCCCATGACCTTGGCTCAGGACCAACTTCAAAATAAGTGGGATGCCGGCAAACGCCCTGCAGGCACGTGGGCCTTGGATTGCCGCAACCGCTGTGGGTTGCGCTGATCAGAACCAAACATGCTAGGGCCTGCCAGGGTCATGTTTTTCAAATAGGGAAAGACATCATTTCAAAGACCCAAATTGGGGGGATGGGTTTATTATCATGATTCAATTATTGCCTCAGTAGCCCATAACTTTCCAATACTCTCTGGGAATTTAACAATATTTCGGTATTTATAAGATAGATGATCTACCAATTCAATAGACTGGTGGTGGTCCAGTTTGCAACCTGTAACAAACTACCAGAGGCTACTTTCCAATAAATGATCTACAAACAGTTCATCAATAGCTTTCCCATTTTAATAACTTAACTTTGGACTATGGGTTACTTACCCTCTGGTGAACTAACATAGCAATGGAAAATCACCATTCTTAATGGGAAAATCCACTATAAATAGCCATTTTCCATTGCTATGTTAGTTCACCAGAGGGTAACCCATAACTATCCATGGTTTAATCAAAACTATAAATGGTTGTCGAGTAATCCATTAAGCAGCCATGTTATGACTATGGATTACTTAAACCAAAACTATTATGGGTTACTAGCTATGGTTGCTAGCCTTGGATTAATGGATGAATTACTCAAACCATGGATTACTCAACCCATTTTCATTTATGGTGGTTATATTATGTTATATTAACCCTTACTAACTATGGTTACTCACATTATGGATTATCAGCCCCTGGTTCTGAACTAACATGCCATGGTTTCTTAACAATGGATGGTTTATACTAACATTTACTAACCATGGATTAATGGATTACTCAACCGTGGGTTGCTTACCCATTTTCATGTATGGTGGACTATGGTCACTAACATGTAATATATGGTGGTTATTTAACCCTTGCTAACTTTGGCTACCAACATAATTATATATATATAATTATATATAATTATTTATATATATATGGTGGATTACTAACTATGGTTTCTAACATTAGACATTATAGATAGATAGAATTAAATTAATGATTATCCGCAGTTAGATGAACATCTCCATGGAATCCAATGGAATCCATGGTTGCGAACTATAGATTAGCCTCTGGTCATTTGTTACATAGCTATGATTTTCCCAGCTAGAAACCTCCATTTATTTGGGTGATTTTCCATAGCTATTTTGACATAACCAGAGGGTACTCCCCTAATCATCCCATCCGTTTCCCAGGCGCGCCATCCTATCGCTTTGATCTCTCCGCCACCACGCAGTTGACCTCAACGGAGGTGACGTCGAGACCGGTTGAGCCCGTTGACCCCGTTGACCCCCGAAGCTGGGGATAGAAACAGCTGGGAAAACGAGAGAAATATCACGAAAATTCATCTGGTTGGTGGTTTGGAACATTTTATATTTTTCCATATATTGGGAATAGTAACCCCAACTGACTAATATTTTTCAGAGGGGTTGAAACCACCAACCAGTCATGAAATACCCTCTGGTAAACTAACATAGCTATGGAAAATCACCATCCTTAAAAGGTAAATGATAACTATAAATGGGCCACTTAAATTACCAGAGGGTATCTAGAAAATCATGGGGGAACACTGGTAATTCCTTGACTTGTTGTCGTTGTTGCTGTTGTGGACAAGAATTAACTATCCAGCAAAAGATTAGGATTTTTTGCGGACTAGCACAGATTGACTATTTGGAAAATCCATATTTGGATTAAGATCATGTAACATCATGTAACCTGTTTTTGGCTGCTTGATATTTGATCTACTGAATCTCATTCTAAGAATATGTTGGTGCGAACGACAGGAATTTCCAGTGCGAACTGACCCAGGTTTTTTTCTGGTTTTGCTGGTGAAGATCCAATTTGTTGCCTTAAAACCAACAAGCCCTTGGCTATCGATACTGGAGGATCAGCTAGTTGGTTGCGGTCATCAACCCAACCGTCACAAATGCAGTGATACTGTACCGTGGGAAATTTTCATTGAATAAGTTACCCTAGTGATCCATTTTTTTATTCAGGTCATATTCAAAGGGCATACCTCCAAGCAAGTGTTTGGTTTACAGTATGGTTGTTTTCAAATTAGCGCATTAAGATGTTCCTTTTCGGATATATAACTGTTGGCATCTGTTGGCTATTGCTCATTGTACCCCATGATCAAATGGTGGGTTCGGTAAATGCTGGCTATCCCCATTTGTTGGTTTGTATCATTATCGAACCCCATCATACCAACATGTGTTGTTCTACCCATCCAGTGTTGGTTTGTACCCCAACCATCGTAATTCCCAACGTGTTTGACTTAATATTGCCATGTGTTGGTTGACGTGCTCATTTTGCAAAATTGGTATGTCTGGAAATCCCATGAAATCCCCGAATTTTACGGAACGGTTGGTTCTCTCTCCCGTTATCACATCATATCCTCATGATCTCCCCTGAGGATTACACCAATGGGAATTTGGGATTATGGTCGCCACCAGAAAGATGCTCCCCAAATCCTCCAAGTCATTCGACTGTGTTCGAAACAAGCAAGGTGACGACTGGGGATCCCCCATAAAAAAAGAAACCCAAATGGCTTTGTCATGGGATGAAAATAGTGAGCCCCAGCCATTTTCACATCTTTGAAACTCATAAATTTCACCATGGTTCACCCCATTTTCACCCCATTTTTCACCATGTTCACCATGTTTCACCATGGTGATGACTGGGGATGTCCGGTGCCACAGGTCCTGCGATCGCGTGCCTTGGATGGAATCGTCGGCGAGGCGGAAGCCATCTTGGCCTCAGAGGAGTGGGTGAACTAAGCGGTGAAAACTGGTGGCTTTTTTTCTGGGTTTTTAATGGGTTTTTAGTGGGTTAACAAACGGGATGTCCCGTTTTTTTTGGGGGTTTACTGTGTTTTAAACTATACTTAAAAGACAGTGGCAAATGAGTTGTTTGGTTTTTTTTAGGGGGGCTACTAAGGTATATTGGCAATTAATTTGTAATTTGATAGCCATCGTGGAGTAGATAGAATAGGGACATGTCCGAAACTCCTCGTGAAAATGGCAATGGCTTTGAAATTTCCATATTCTATCCTCGTCAGGATATATATATATATTATATATATAGGTACATACTGTAGGACACTGTAGGACTACATGTGTATACATATATAATTACATTTTTTGTGTGTGTGAGAGAGAGAACCCGAGGTCTATTTTGGAAAGACACATGATGATGAACTCTATGTCTTTTGATCCTCATCATCCTGGGTTTTTATGTCCGGGGTGTCTGGGATTCAGTTGCCTGAAAGCAGGTTTTTTTTGAAGTTCTCCATGTTCCAAATGGAGACCTGTTGGTAAGCTGGGATTTCTATGGGAGTCAATAAAGTTTAAGATTGATTAAGAATAGCCAACATGTGAGATTCTCATGCTACACGGTTGCTGTTTGTGGAATTAATTCTCCTGAAAAGAAAGGAATCTGGCCAGCTAGTCAGCAATTGCTCAGAAGAAAGGACATATAAGTTATAAGGACATTCATTCCGGGCCGACTTTACCTCACTCTTCGTAGGTCGCTCCATGTTAGCGTTGGCCATTTTGATGTAGCACGAGCAAAAAAAAACACCAGAAGTGGCCTACATATTTCACCGCCGGCCATAAACCTGTGGCTACCATACAATGGTGAACAGTGAGCTATTTGTTGGGATGATAAACCGTCCGTATTGCCATGAAAGTCCCCACCAGCATTGGTTAAATCACCATTCAATCACTGTAGGTAAACCTACAAATTTGGGGATGATTTATATTTATACCACATGTTTAGGATATGTTGACTGGTTGGTGGTGACTGGAACATGAATTTTATTTTTCCATATTGGGAATTTTATCAGAGGGGTAGGTACCCTCTGGTAATTTAACGTAGCTATTGAAAATGACCACTTATAGTGAGTTTTCCCATTAAAAATGGTGGATCTTTCCATAGCTATGTTAAATTACCAGAGGGTATACCATCAACCAGCTGGGTGTTGACAGCTCCGCTAGGAGCTGCAGCGCCGGAAGTTGGTCTCCCGCGCGCGGCTTCGCGTGGAGTGCCGCGTGCAGAATCGCGTGGTCGGCTGCAGCCCGTCGATTCCCATCAGCTCCTTTGGCTGCGAGGGAGCACCGGTGACGATGAGAATATGATGGGATCCATGACCAATTACCCTCTGGTTATGACTAACATAGCCATGGAAAATGGCCCATAGAAATAGATGGTTTACCTATTAAACGTGGTGATTTTCCATGAGAATTTGATGGGATCTAAGTTAATCATCTCAGTAAAGCAATAGGATTTTTACACCATCCCCAATTTTCGCGTAGCTTGTACACGCCATGAAGGTGGTTGATTGCTTTACTTACAGTCAGAATATCATCAGTGCCAGTTTCTTGATTGTGTCCGCTACTGTGGAATCAATCATGGGAAGTCAATGGGCTCAGACGCAGCGAATGCGGGATTTCAATCAATGGGGAACCAATCGAGAAAGCAACAGAAAAGTTTCAACTGAAATGCTGGGAGTTAGCCCAGGATACACGGAAGCCAGGATGTATAGTAGGTTAGTAGGTATGGTTGGCCCGCTATTTGGGAAAACGAGTATCATTACAGGGAACCTATGTCTAACTGTCTAATTGCCAACGTTGTGCATATCATACACGCCTCATATGAAGACGTACTGCGACCTCGTCTCATCACCCTGCTTTGACCCATGGTTCCCTATCCATCGATGTCAATATAAACCCAAATATCCTTAACCGCTGGATTTGTTTGGATTTGTTTGGAAGGAGAAGTTCATGCTCCAATAACTTTTTCAGGGTATCCAGCATTGGCCAGGTTGTCATTGATGATGGTTTTCTCATGTGTTTTTGTCCATTGATGTTGATACTCCCAGGCGTCCTATGCATTGAGAAAATGGAACCACCTCTGGAACTTTCATTCCCGACCGACTGGATGGCTATGAATTGAACATAACAATAACAGCAACATATTTTTAGTGGACTACCAAAGATTGATAAAGATTGACCATAGATTGAAGTTGTTGGGTCCATTTTGAATTCCTGGGAATGTCCTGAGGAAATTCAATGAAATCCATGGTGAATATTACAAGTGCTTTGTCAGTCTCATCATGGGCACCCATTTCGGTGACCGCCGAAAGATGGGTTTGTCTTAGACTAGGGTACCTCAATCCAATGGGTTCTCATCATTCTTGGGGGGGGTTATATCCCCTTTGGAAATTCCTGCTTAGTATATAACTATACTATCCCATACTATGCTACCAATCTGGAACAAGTTACTTTCCATACCGTTTCACACAAATACTATTCCATACTATATTAGCTAAGTGTTTGATTACGACTATACTATACTAATTAGAAACTATACGAATATTTTAAACGCCGCATCATACTATTCAGATCTATATATTTAGATTATTTAATACTAACCATTTCCAATATATAACTAAATAACAACTATTACTACAACTATAACTAATAATATTATTTAGTACTAACCATTATTATATTATCAGTACTAATAACTACACTATACTATTACTGACACACTACTAACCGTTACCACTATGCCATGCAATAGGCTATGGTTCAGACCCAGCCCGAGGCTGGGAGACCGCTGGCACGTCCGCGGCAGTCGCGTTGCTGGAAGAGGCGATTTTCCAACGGATTTTTTGGGATTTTTTGGGAGACCTCTGTGAGGTCAAAAGTCAAAAAATCTGTGAGAGAAGATCTTTGAATAGCCTAATGTTTGGGATATAGCTGGTCTATTCATTTTCATACGCCCCTAAAAAAGTGGCTGTTGGTGGTACCCATGACGGATCCATGGTGCTGGTGTATATATACTAACATGACTGGGGTATATTGATGGGATCCATGGAGCAGCATATATAGCAGCACCGTTAGGATCCGTCATGGGATAGTCGCTTTTCCAAGCCATTGAACTTCAGTTGGTTTTCCGAACTATTTCGAAAAGTAGCAGTGACATATTTCTTGAAAGTGGTCTTAAATGGACGGTTTAGGAAAGCCATGAAGTCTAAAGTTGCCAACATCCAGCGAGTTTTTGTCTCTGTGAGGTCTTCCTGTCATCCCAAACAGACCCTGTTCTTTCATCCGTTTCTTTCAAAAAAAACTTCATTTAAGATCATTGCTGGTTGGTGGTTTGGAACATGAATTTTACTTTTCCATATATATTGGGAATGTCATCATCCCAACTGACTTTCACTCCATCATTTTTCAGAGGGGTTGGTTGAAACCACCAGAGCAGGATGAGCTCAATGTTTATAATGGAATATCACTTGAGCTGTCAAACATACCCCATTTTTTCACTTCTTTTGTTCAAGAAAGGTGGATCTGCTGCAATGACCCGAAAGGCCAGCCTACCTGGGTCCCCCGAAAGCCTGCGACCTGTACATAGTTCGGGTGTCCCAACTTGCTTCGGCTTCAAAGTTGGATCTGAATGGAAGTTGCTGCGGGATATGAATGGATTATTAATGGATTATTCTGGGATGGTATTCGATGGGTTTTCTGGATCCAGAAGCTGACACCATTACAGGTTGCCACACTTTGAACGGGTCCCGCTTCATGCTCCACTGATGGTTGCTGCTGGAAATGGGCTCAACTCGAAATCGGTCCTCAAAAAGTAGTTGTGGGATGTTGTGGGCAGGTATTTCTAGCATTCTCCAACTAACCCGCACAAAAATGTTTGGAAAACACACACACTTCCGATATTTTCCTACGGAGGTTTTCACAGCGTGGCCGCCATCCGAGGTTTCAATTTGGCGGTGCATGTGATGCCTCAAAACCTCTCCTTGGTGGTTTATGTCTCTGCCGGAGGCGAAGATTTGCACCGGAAATGCTCCCCAGGGGCACACAGACCATCACAGACCCGAGAGTATGCGATGAATATTATTGTTGTTATATTCCCGCCTGAGATGGCGATGGAGAGGGACAGAGATTGTTGTTATAATTAGTGTTATGATTATGACGTACTATTGTTATTATCACTACTATCTTTATGTTTATTATCTTATTTATATAATTACATCATTATTATTATAGCTGTTATAAAATTATCATATTGTATCTATCTTTGCGTGTGTGTGTGTGTGCATTTGTATGGGCATATAGATGTATACAGTGCTTGTATAAGGATAATAGTGGTCATTAACAGGATAATAGTATAAGCATACACCACTATTAACGGGATAATATACCAGGATTACCCTCTGGTAAACAAACATAGCTATTGAAAATTACCATTTATAGTTGATTTACCCATTAATAGCATGGTGGATCTTTCCATATAGTTATGTTAGTTTTACCAGAGGGTACCACTGTAAACGGGATATAAACGGGATTAGATTTGGTGTTCATTTTGCTGCCCAGTTTTCCAACTGGAGGCCTTTGGAATCGCTGGCATGCTACACAGGAGGCCATGGCATGCCATGGCCAGTTGGAGCTAAGAGCCAGTCTCGGAGTCTCCCAACCAGAACTGTCAAGGATCTTAAAGGATCCACCAGCGGCGTAGCGTCACATAATTTTTGTGTTTCGGTGGCTCTGTTTTCAAAGGCGTGAGGGAACAGAAGTAGATTAATTAGATACACAAGAAAGCTCCAAAAGAAGAAGATGCAGGTGAATTCCAACTTCTTGCCACTTGATTCCCCATCTTTGGCTTTAACAGTATGAGGACTTGCCATTGTGCAGTCAAAAACGTGGTGATTTCCGGGAATTGTGTGGGAAGAGCCTTCAAAGGTCCCTGTGATAGGTGGGATGGGATGAGCCGAAAGTGGACCTCCGTTTTCGGTCCATGTTCCGTTGAAAATCATCACATTATGACTGGTTCTCATCTCCTCAGTCTAAAGGGGCCAAACATCACTTGGAATTGAGACTAAAAAAGTGGTTAGCCCTGCCAAGAAAAAGGTATTTATTGTTTATATAGAGTAGAACATGTGTGAGAAACTTTTCTTCTGGATCCATGCATTATACCATGATGTTGTTGATATATATATATAGATAGATAGGTGCTACAGTACCATATCACAACATATCATCATAGCAACATGTTTCGCATGTGAGGATATCAGCAATGCACATGATGACATCCCATGATTAGATCCTCCTTTTTCCTATGATCAAATGGCCAAATGGCTTGGCTGGGGGTAAATCTCTCTGCTCTGGACAAAGATGACACAGCCAAGTATCAATTTCTTGGTTTGTTGCTTGCATGAAAATATGCATGTTATTTTTTATTGTCTCCCGTGTTGCTAACATATCACCCTTATATAAGCCTCATATCCAAGGGGCTTAGCCCCATATGTCGCTGGTTAACAGGTGGAGGTGGACCTCCCAAGCCTGGGAAAAGTGCCGAAGCCTCAGTGAGCAAACACTTGGAGCAACAAACAGGTCGACATGGAGGGACCACATGGGAAAACATGTGAAAACATGGGAAAATGCTGTTGATCCATATTTTTTGAAGATTGTTCATGATCATAACTGCTGATGATGTTTGATGACTTTTTAAAGCTCAAAGATCACGACTTAAAACAGGGATCAAAATGATCAACATATAATCTGTGTGGGGTGATGTGTTTTATATCTACTCAATTACGCAAAAGAAGCTGATTTGTGTTTTTTTCTAGATGTTTGCATGCATGACTGTTGGGAGCAGCGGCTGGTAAGTGCAAATTGTGGGTGAACACAGCTGTGATGCAGCTAGCACATAAATAAATTTAAAAAAAACATATATATATATATATACATATGGATGTATGTATGTGCTAATGATATATCCAAGAACTACTCGCAAGGCATGGATCAACTGGAAACGGCATAATCTAATGCCGTGTTATCATATATTTATGCACGTGCAATCAACCATATGGCCCTGTCGACACAGCCCTGTCGTTGAAAGGACTCACGCGGCTGTGCTTGACCAGCGCTTGTTGTTTGGGCCAGGCGGACAGCGTGGTGGGGATGAGGAATTTTGTGCCGTCCTGTCTTGAGCATCTCTGGATTCATGTTTGGAAAAGTTCGAGTCTTTTTCTGGTGAGTATACCTTAAAACATTCAAACACAGAGAGAGAGAGAGAGAGAAAGAAAAAAAGCAACAACACAGGAACTTGCCCTCTGGTAATTTAACATAGCTATTGAAAAATGACCATAGAAATAGCTGATTTGCCCAATAAATAGTGGATCTTTCCATAGTTTTTTGTAAACGTTTACCAGAGGGTACAGATTTACATCCCAGGTTTGGGGTTGAAGATGGACCCAGATATGGTGCTCTCAGCCCACGGGCCCGTATGGCAGACGATGATGATGGTGCCTTGATGGAGCCTCAGGAACTCACTTGGAAATTGCAAACCAGAGATATCAAACCTATGTTCTCCGAAGTGTTGCGGGATATACCCAATTTGTATCAATTTCTTGGTTGCCCTTAGATCAGTTCTATCTCTCTGAAATTGCTCGATTCTAAGGGTCGAAATGTATGGGATTCTATGGGATACTGGTCATACGGTTCCTACGGGGTCGCTCGAGGTCGAGTTTTCGTGGGGAGGTCGCCGTGTGCGTCTCCTGGCCTGGGGAAGGACGGGTTCTCGAACATTGTAGATGATTTTGTATTATTATAGCGTAGCCATATATATATATATACATATTATATACACATAGTCACATCGACATATACATGATCGAATGCTGTATTTTTATTGTTTTATCAGTGTGGGTGCGGGTGTTTGGATATGCCGAAGGTCCCGGAGCTGAGACCAAACAGCCGCTGATGATTCTTGAAAATGGTTTTCATTATCACTTCCTACAGCACTAGATGCAATTCATAGTAACGTCAGTTCTTGGTGCCATGCATTGGATAGAAGCCACTCGCCAAGCTAATTTTCAAGCTTCATGAATCAGCCTGAAACATCCCAGGGTATCAGTTGAACCGGATCCTATTTGTTCTGCCTCTCCCAAGCAGCAAATGTTCTTCCCTTCGAAAAGATGATTACTGTAATTAATATTACTGTAATTTAGATCACCCCATTATTTTCCAAAGTGCCACCATCGTCCCGACATCACTGCCAACCATGCCAACCATGCGTTTTGGACGGACAAACCCCCCGAAATTTGATGGATTTTGACACATTGAAAATTCATGAATAACCCATGGCTTCCAGCAATTTTTCCCGTCCCCAACCATTGAAATATAAGACATATAATTGTAGACATATAAGATAAACCATGATAAATCATGATACTTTATTTACCCTCTGGTTATTTAACATAGCCATAGAAAATCACCATTTTTGATAGGTAAACCATCTATAAATGGGCCATCTATACCATGGCTATGTTAAATAACTAGAGGGTATATATTATAAATGATAATGCCCAGGGTATGACATGACCCCCCGTCATAGCCCGTCCCTTCTTCCAGGACGTGACTCTGTTGTACCGCCCACGGCACCCCGCATGGAAGCGGTGGAACGTCGGGGTGCCTGGGTGGTGGGTGCTTTAGACTCGGAAGTTCCATTGAAACCTCCTGGCCATGGTATAGATGGCCCATGTATAGATGATTTTCCCAGCTAGAAACCGCCATTTATGAGGGATTTTCCATGGCTATGTTAAATAACCAGAGGGTACACACACACACATATATATATATGAGCTATGGTCAATACTCATGGTTAATAACCATTAATAGGGGCTAGTCATCCAATGGTTCATAGGGATTTATAACAACCATTATAAGGATCCTTATTATGGATGGGATGACCATCAACCATATAGTGAGTATTGACCATGGCACATCTATATATATATATATGTATGCATCTATGTATATATAAAATGATGAATCCCTGCTCCCGGTTAATATATTTTTTTTCACACCTCTCAGAAACCGTGGTTTAGTAGGGGATTTGCACATATTTGGGGACCATCTAGAGAGTGTTTAATGTTAGGCGTTAATATTAGGGGAATGGGGATTATATGTCAATATGTGCATAATATGTGTTATATATTAGATTACATGGGTTATATTATTCAAAGTATTGGGGAAGCTGAGATCAAAGTTTCCGGCCTCTTTCAGAGGCTGGCTAGAAAATTGATGTCAACCATCCACATTATTCATTATTATATAATAATAAGGGAAATCATCCCCAAATCTGGGGGTCAGAGAAGTGGTGTGGCCTTAATTCAGCGAGTGAAATATTTTGATAATTTACCCATAAAGATATATATATAGATAAATAGATAAATAAATATATATATATATATGCTACCCATTACCTGTGCCTATTGAAATTTATTCAATGGGGAGCCAGTGGGAGCTCCATTTGAGTTTCCAACTTGATAGTCATAGTATCGATGAACTGTTGGGAGTTGCCACAATCGAACTGGGAAAGTTGTTGAGGAAACCAACTTTTTTCAAAGGGACGACATTTCGGCTATTGAACTTTCAATCAAAATATATATAAATGAACACTTTGGGTGCTTTTTTACTCGGTAAAGCGGCCAGTGAAAGGTAGGTGAAATGGATTTTGGTGGAATATGTCATATCCATATCCCGCTAAATATTGACATTGTTCTTGGCGTATCCAAGGTTAGCCCTGTTTTGTCGTTCTTTTATTGATCATTCAGCTTTTCTTCTCCAAAACCAGGTGGAAGTGGGACTCGGCTTGTTTTCCTGGATGGGTGAATTGGGTGTGTCACTTCTAATCTTCCATAGGTCCAATTCCAACCATGATCCCAGAGAGGTTTTCAGATGTTTTACCCTCTGGTAAACAAACCTAGCTGACATAGCTATTGAAACTTGCCATTTATAGTGAGTTTTCCCATTAAACATGGTGATTTTCCATAGTTTTCTGTATGTTTACCAGAGGGTAAGATGGATCTAGGCAGGCATATCTAGGCATATCGGTGAGGCAAGCCCGATTCTCAGGGGTACGCTGCCGAGGTCCAGCGTCCACCAGTTGCTGGTGCCTCGATTTCAGGAATTTCATGCTGCAATTGGAGCATGAACACATAGTAACTGATTGGTGGTTTGGAACATTTATTTTTTTTCCATATATTGGGAATAATCATCCCAACTGACTAAGATTTTTCAGAGGGGTTGAAACCACCAACCAGGTAAATTCGGTGACCTATTATTAGGATAATGATTGTATCATTCCAAAATATGTTTTGTTTTAGAGGTGAGGGGCGGCGTGGGAATGAGTAAGTCTAATTTGTAAAGATGAACACGGCGGACGGCGGTTTCACCAAGCAAAAAAAACGGGAAAATTTTCTGGCAACAAAGGGGAACGAAACGGTGATCCTTGAAAGAAAATAGGCGTTCAAGGTATCCAACATTGAAATTTAGACAAGTGTGGTGATAAGGGCTCTTCTTTGCTATGTTTGGTTTACTCCGTGTAACAGGATGCTGCGCTTCCAAATGTGGCATGACGGCAGCAAACTCCCACCCTATTTGTTGGTTCTAAACAACGTGGATACAATGGATAAAGTGATGGCCGGTTGGTGATAAATGGTGGGTTCTTTCCTTCAATTCCATTTGGCTTGTTCATGAGGATTGTGAACTCACCCTTTCTATCCTTTTCTTATATTTAGGAATTCTGACCTAACCACATCAAGACATGGTGACATGGCGATGTTGGCGGCAAACATGCGGCTTTTGTGGGACATTTTGGAATGCTGCAGGTTGAGGGAAAATTAGGCCCACAGCGATTCCACTTTGCAAAAGACATTCAAAAGACCAATTCCTCTGGTTTATTAACAGGTTTTCACAATAGCCAAAGTCGATACTGCAAGTGTTGTGCCTTTCCCATTCGCAACAATTTACAGGAAACCCCGTATCCAATGGCAAAAACAATGGTTTCCCTGCAAAGTTTACCAAACATTATCAACATGTCTCACCAATTAAACATGTCCTTGGACGGTCTCTTCGCACCGAAAAATAGGCCCCGCAGACGACAGGCCTCCGATAGACGGAAAGTGCCAGGGTCAGTGGGTTGGTAAAACTTTGCGATTGCGGGCAACCTGTTGTTCTTTATCCACATCCCCATAGTATCCATGTATGGTATATATGCTAACATTTGGGATATATTAATGGTAAATGTTACCATATATGGCATACATGGATCCTATGGGATCAGTTGTGCAAACAGCAATCGCTAGCCGCTAGCTCCATGTTGATGTCAGCACTGGATTTGTCATGTATCGGAGCATGGGGATGTATCCCGGAGTTCATGTCCATGTCCACGGGGAAACGCAATCGGATTGAGCACTGAAACACTCCTGACCGATGACCTGGATGACCTGCGTCTTGCGCCCATTCTTTCCACTCCTAAAAATAGATATGCATAGATATGCAATGGATACCCTCTGGTAAACAGCCACATAACTATGGAAAATCACCATTTTTAATGGGAAAACTCACTATTTCTATGCCCATTTTCAATAGTTTTTTGTATGTTTACCAGAGGGTAACACCTCCGAAAAAACCTCAGCCGGAATGTCCCGGAATGTCCCGGAATTGATTTTTTCATGCTTGGATCATCGGTAATTCGTAATGCGTTGCCGTGTGGAACGGTCCCCGTTCACCACAGGAGGACGGAGAACGAAAGAAGGTGGATGAAGAGGCAGTTGTTTTTTTTTTATAGGCGACATATTGTGAATATTTACTGACGTGTCGAAGCTGTTGGTAGAGAAGATTATGTTTGATTCTGACATATATGACATGATATAATTTATATATGAATATTGATATATAGAGAGCCATTTGTGCCGCCACTAGAATTCAACAGTTCAGTTTTACACGGCTAAAAATGGCAAAGACTACCCGGTACTGAATTTGAGTTATCTTGCCCTTCTGGATGGGGATGTTCAGTGATTCGTTGTGAGCATAAATCCCCATCAGATGGCCATCAGAACCCCGCAAAACCAGACTTGTGTGGATAGACTTGGATGATGGGAACATTTTAACCGGAAAGCCCTATATTTGATGGTAAAAACATGTAAAAACCCATGGGTTTCCGGTTAAGATTTTCCCCAACAAACCAATCCATTGAGGATTCCATGTTTTGATGTTGTGAGGAAAAAGAGATGTTAGAAAGAGTCATATGTCAGCGAATGAGCCTGCCATTTCCCAGAGCTTTTCTATAAGAAGGGGATAGTCGCCCACCGTGCTGTGGCGGCGAAGCCGCGCCAGGAATTGAGTTTAAAGCCCTTGGGTGACAAGGTGCTGGGTGATCTTGGTGGGTGGCTGCTGAAAGTGTTGAGACACTGAGATTCAGAGCATGAAGGACCATCATTTCCAGTGCTGTTCCCTGAGGTTTCATTGTGTTCAAGGGTTTCGCGCCTCAAGTTGGTGATATCAGCTTCCCATCTCTAAATCGATATAGGAAAATCTTGGAAAATCTATAAAATCCTTGGTGGACAGCTAGAAATTGAACAGAAACACATGAAGATCATGAAGACTCATAGGAACTCACGGATTCGCCCAGGCGTTGATTGAAGAGACGCACCTCCGTTTGGGACACCCAGCTATAGAGGGAGAGATGTGATGACAAGTTTTTGCTGGAAGATGACAACTTAGCCATTTAGCCCATAGTTGCCGCTCTACAGGTTCCAGTGCATATATATATATATAGTTTTATTATATTTACATTATGTTGTAATTATATGATATGTTGTTATGTGTGCATATATATATATATGTGTGTGAATCATCATGAATTATCTATTCCATATGATGATATAGTGGCCCTGGCGGCTGATTTTTGCGGATCTTTGAACCACGGCATGTTCACCAGGACGGCGACGCAAAGGCTCAGAGGCGGACGCAGATCCTGATGCACCAGGGTTGTTCCGGCGGTGGTACAGGTCGTACATGATAGCCACCAAGGTGGAAGCTTTTGTGTTGTTTGACGTTTCAGGATTTTTCTAAGTTCTTTTGTTGATCCTCTTCTGTATTAGTCTTCGTTCAGTTTTTTTGCCCCTTTGTATCTGGGGTGTTGGGAACAATCTTGCCCTGTTTAATGGATGCCTTGCCAATTGCAGACTGCTTCGTGTTCAACCTACCTGGGACTACTATATATATATAATATAGCCTAAGTGACTATGATAATACGCTTTGGTAATTTAACATAGCTATGGAAAATAACCTTTCTGAATGTGTATATAAGTCATCTATGAAAAGAATACGTTCCATGGCTATGTTCAATTACGGTTCAATTACCAGAGGGGCCTAATCAGACCTGGAGATTATTTCCAGCCAATACTGGAAACCCATCAGCAAGCACCGGAGAACATGGCTGCGGGATTTGTGTGATGGGGGGCATCTCCAAACTACAAAGCTACACCCTCTCCAGTAGTCCCCCTCATCCATCGCACATCAAACTGCATGGGCAAAGTATACAATGATAGCTGGTTGGTGGTTTCAAACATTCTTTATTGTGGGGGATAATCCTTCCCAATTGACTATATAATATTTTTGAAGATGGTTAAAACCACCAACCAGATAGCAATCCCTGTCAGCAAAGAGAACGCATTGAATCTGTGTACTGGGTCAACCCGTCAACCAACTGTATGGGTAGGTACAACAGAAAATCTTGGGCATTTGATGAGGTTATGTTGGAACCTAGCCAGCTATATAAAACGTTTTTTTGGGGGGTGGGCAGCACCCATACCGGATTATATCCATGCGAATGCCTCGAATTTGGGAATGTTTGAAGATAGGATAGAGAGAAATCTTATTTGACCATCACTTAATCACCATCTTCCTCACTAAAATCGCAACTTTGACAGTTTATCCACCATTCATTGGATTGGCTTAAGAGAAAATCTGCAGGAAACCATCAATTTTCCCATAAGATATTGGTGTTTCCTGTAATTTTGCCATTAAACCCATCCATTGAACCATATTGAGACACACCGAGAAATCATCTTCTTGGTGCCGCTTGGTCAGGCGGATGACGGGTCCAGACGTTCCCTACGCATCGAAAAGTTGCTGATGCGCATGGAACGGGAAGGCAGTGGTGCGGCATGTCCGGTGGCGGGAAGTCACTGGGTACCTCAAAATCAATGGCCATTTTAGGTCTCAAATTTACCACGAGGTACCTGCCATATCCTGCCATATATAGGGCCTAAGGGTGAAATTTCAGCGGATATAGCTATACATTTGAGGGTCCTGAAATGGTGGTTGACAGAATTATTCAAAATGGATAGCTTTGATGAAGTACCCTCTGGTAAACTAACATAGCTATTGAAAATTGCCATTGATAGTGGATTTACCCATTAAAAATGGTGGATCTTTCCATATGTTAGTTTACCAGAGGGTAAACTTTGATTTTTTTACATGGTTTTACTGTAATGAGATGCAATGAGATGCCATGAGTACAGTCATAAAGCCCCAAATATGCGATAGTTTACTACATGATACTACGATGTGGTGCCATTGTGGTGCCCCCTAGTTATAAATTGGTTTATAATCCCCATTATAGTTATATCTACCATAAACCATATTATTGGAGTTATAAACCAACTTAGCTAACCAATATAGCACCACCTTGTACATGCAAACCCGGAAAAGCGAAGGATGATGACCCTCGAGTCCACAAGAACAACAGCTGGAAAATGCCCAAAAGACCAACACAACCATTCTGAAATTTCCTCAGCGACCTCCGGCCCCAAGTTGTTCTAGATTGTTCCATCTCAAATTTCCGGAAGTCGATGTTGTTTCTCATCGGAACAAATTAGAGTCATTAGAGGTGTCCTTAGATTAGGGGTACCCCCAAATCAATCATCTATATTTATAGATCCCATGACGGATCCATGGTGCTGCCATATTAATGCTAACATGACTGAGGTTTTTGTTGATGGGATCCATGGAGCACCATCTATGGCAGCACCGACCATGGATCCGTCATGGGGATTTGCCATAAATTCTCCAGCTCTTGGGGGAGGCATGGATTCGGAGATTAAAGTCGTGCCGGGCTTCGAAGATGAAGCGCGGCGAGAGGAGCACCGCAGCAGCGATTCTGCGGAGGTTCTTAGTGGGGATTTCACTCGTGAAAAAATGATGATTTAGTGGAATATAATGGTGATTCAATGGGATATATAACTATAGCATACTATAACTGACAATATGATATATGGGTCTGTCAGAAAATGGGGTATGCGCATGTATACGCCAGAAATGTGCATTTTAATAGGGCTAATGATGATAATCTATGGAATGGGAGGTACCCTATTTGCGGACTAAGCCATAAGTTTCCTAGAGCCCTAGATTTAACCAACAATGGTGATTTAAGATGATTTAAGCCACAGAAATCGCGGTATCATGGTGATATGTTGGGATATTTGTTTGGACATTGTGACCATTGGAATAGCTGGGACTATTTGAGGATTTGATGACCAATATCGGGATACAATGGGGATATGATGGTTGTTGGCTCTGGATGAATTGCAACGACCTCACTGCAACGTCGTCTCTATGGGAAGCAGTAGCCACAACACAGCTTCAGCATAGTATAGCATAGTGCTATGACTTCCAAGGTGTGTATAGATAACCATTTCCCCCTACTATATAATACCCTAATTACTAATTAAGTAATTATTACGAAAGCCTGGTTTAGTACTGGATCTATGATATACCCTCCGATAATTTAACATCAATAGCTATTGAAAAAGGCAATTTTTGGTGAGTTTGCCTAGTAAAAGTGTGATTTTCCATAGTTTTCTGTATGTTTACCAGAGGGTACTATGATTCTACTGGGGCCTGGCATTTCCGCTGAGGCTGCAGAAGCTGGAGGTGAAGGTGGAAGCCGCACAGAAAGAGACTGTGCCAGCACCTCAATGTGTTTGGATCAGCCCCTCAGAAGCTGCCTGCCCCTGGGTTTTTGTTGACGGTGATTGTTTAAGGAGCGGAGCCTTCAAAATGATGTTGTTACTTGCTACTTCAGTATACTCAAATGGTGCCATGTCAATGAAACAGACTTAGGGGTTATTACTGTAATCCATATTAATCCGGGGTTGACATTATAAAGGTTTGTTACTTGTATTTCCCAGTCAGATTTTGGATCAGAAGTGGCTTGGGGTTCCCGTCCTTGATCTTTTTGTTCGGCTGTAAGTGAGATGCATCTTCGAAAAAAAAGTTTGACCAGGTGAACGTAACTGTACACACCACTGAAATTCAACACCTGAAGAAATAGTGTTCCAAAAGACGATCCTGCCCCGCAGCATGGAAACAGCCAACTGTGGTATTCATTGTATTCAAGACATCCAAAGACCCACAGGGAAACAGCCAACTGTGGGATTCATGATAAAACATGTTGAATGAGTTTCGGCTTACACCCCTCCTGTTGGTCTCCATTTGCACAATGCAACGCCATGCGTTGCGCCATGCGTTGCGCCATGCAACGCCCGTGCCAGGCACCAGATGGAGTTCCGCAAGAGGCGACGGATGATGTGACCTTGAAATCTAGCGATTTGTCTACCTTTGTCACTTTAGCATTTATTTGACTTACCCTCTGGTAAATAAACGTAGACCCTGAAAATCACCATTTTTTTAATGGAAACTAGTCTTCCAACCCCTATCTGCCAGGGTCTATGTTAATTTACCAGAGGGTCTTTGTCACTTTAGCATGTATTTGACTTAGCATAGCTTCTCTCTATCTTTGGCATGCGTAGCTCCATCTTGACCACTTATCGTCTGGGGTATTGGTATCGCGTCAAGCGCGCTAGGATTCAGGAGCGAACACGTCGCATGTCGACGGTGAAGACCCACATGTCCTACAAGAGCAGCTCGGCCAAGGTCGCACTGGTTATGATCATTAATCATCATTATTTATTAACCATTATTAATGGATTATTAATGGATTATTAATGGATTATTAATGGATTATTAATGGATTATTAATGGGTTATTAATGGATTATTAGTGGGTTATTAATGGATTATTAATGGATCTAATGGTGGCTGTGATCTTAAAAAACGGTTCTTCATTGGTCAATTTGAGGTTTTCTCTTCATGCCTAAGATCATCGTTCCATGGTTCCATAAGCTAAGGCATAGTGAGAGAACATGGCGAAGAGGCCGAGGAGGGCAATCTGCTTGAGCATCTCGGCCGATTTTGGGGCTGAGATGAAACCCACTTTGATGGGACCCTGTGTGAGAATTATGACTGGTTGGTGGTTTGGAACATGAATTTTATTTTTTCCATATACATATATATTATATACTGTATTGGGAATTTCATCATCCCAACTGACTTGATCAATATTTTTCAGATGGGCAGGTGGCTCAACCACCAACCAGATGAGATCTGACAAGATACGTTCGAAGTGGGGGATGATTCGAGGATGTTGGCATTTGAAATGGCCTGTTTCAGCTGCCATTGTTTCATCCAGGTGGTACCCTCTGGTTATGACTAACAGTTTGCCATGGGAAATGGCCCATTTATAGAGGTTTACCTATTGAAAATTGTGTTTCTTTTTTGAAAAACTGTTAAATAACCAGATGGCAAATGAACTGTTGGGGATATAGGGAGTGAGATGCCATCCACTTCCGTGAGTGAGTTTTGGAACGCTATTTGTTGTTGCCAAATATTCCATGACAGAATCGCGTGTCTCACCCCTGTATATAGGATTATCATGGATTATCTATAATTATATATATAATAATTATATATATATATATTTGGATGGTGGTTTCAAACATTTTTGTGTTTTCAACCCTACCTAAGAATTACAATTCCACTTGACTATAGTTTGTGAATGTGATATTTTTCAACTGGGTTGAAAACACCAAGCTTTATGGCTGCCCGGGCTGGCTTTACCAGCCCAAAGGTAGGCGAGCCCACCAAACGCGCAGTGTGGGTGCCATGTTTTTCTCCCAATGATTCAGACTTTTGATTCATGTGACCTTCACATATATATATATATACATATATATATACAATAATAATCATCATCATTATTTTTAATGTTATTATTATAATTACATAATATGATATATGCAGAAAGATATGTATATAACATTATAACATATATCATATAAAACATGAAAATTTACAGTATCTAAACCAGGGGGGGTTCATGACTTTCTGGCCTGGCCACCAGGATGCTGGAGCGGTTTCAGAAGCTCTTCCAGCCGAAGCACACCTTGCGCCCCAGCGGCCAGCGCCGGAAGTTCGAGAACGCCGTGCGCAGCATTCGGGCGCCGCCGGGGTCCGGGTGAAAGCTGGGGTTTTTGGGGTGATCATAGGTGGGTTTTTTCTATATCTCAAGTTGAATAGACATCATTCAGGAAAAGATTAATGATCAATTATCAATGATATTTGATATTATTTGATGATATTTGATTATATTTATTTGACTCTAAATCTATTTGATGATTTTGAACATTTCCCACGTCGGACGCTTCCTCAGGTGCATGTCTCGGTGGCGAAAGTCTATGAGGCCGAGTTCAGTTCCGGAACGTAACCCATGAGGCAACCCCCATTTTTTGAGTAGGGAACTTTGGGGAAATATATGGAAAATATATTTTCAATGCCCAAATAGTAATGTTAGAATATGTTAGATGAAATGGGTAAGTTTCATATATTTATTATTTGGGTATGTCTATTTCAGTATGTTCATCTCAATACCCAAATAATGTTTGCATGCTTCTTGATGATCATCCAGCATTCAGCCTGCTCAACATGACCCTTTGTTCAATATTGTTCCATCACCAGATTTAGTGCAAACGCTTGTGATGTATAGCATCGTGTGCCCGAAAATTTCGGGGAAAACCCCAAAACCCCATGGTTTATCAATGTTGATCATCATTTTTCCGCATCAAACAACGGTACCGATGTTTTTTTCGGCCAGGCTCCGTTGCGGATTGACAACGGAAGTGGGCCTTCGGCGCCGGCGGCCCCACCCTTGCCAGGTGGGAATTGGTGCCATCCACCAACTTGGATCAAAATGGCCATAGAAATAGTGGATTTACCCATTCAAAATGGTGGATCTTTCCATAGTTATGTGGCTGTTTTCCAGAGGGTATCCAGATGATCCAGATGGCTGATTTCGTAGGGTAGAAATCGCCAGTGAGATATTAAAAAAAAAGGTGATATGGTATATAGGTCCTAAAGGTTCATTGTTTTAAGGTGGAGTCTTGACCTGTCCCCATGTTGGGATGGTGCCATACCCAACTTGAAATGTGGCTTGGTGCCATGTGATCTCCTGCTTCAGTGGGGCTCTCACCCAACTTGTGGGTAGAGATATATGATATACATGTTTTGTGATGAACCCGGTAGCAAACCTCATGTTTTGGAAGGCTTAGAACTCCTCGAAGTGGCAAAATTAGGCATGTTTTTCCGCTAGGTCTACTAACGATAACCCAGGCCCCCGAGAGCCACACCGCGAAAAACATCCTCAGGTTTTGGCTACAACCGCGCAGGACTGGACCGTCAGGAATCTGGTGTGGGAAATGGGCTAATCCCACAGAAATCTACCGATTGATGGTGTTTAATAACCCTATTCCAAGAATTGGAGGCAAGATCTACAGCAAACCTCTACATTTAGAGGTAACAATTAACAATAGTTTTCGGATGTTTCCGGTTTAGATTCTAGATGTTCCCTTAAACCAATCTGTTGATGAATATTAATGACTCCTCAATCAGGCTTTATTGGTGAGGGGTCCTTTGATGGGCACCGTGAGATTTTAACATCTTGGGGTTGGAGTGGCACAGTTCACCAACGTTGTAGCCCAAAGAGGTCCAATTGCTGAACACCAATTGGATGTACAGCCTCCTTCATGCCTTCAAGAAGGGCGTATTTCAATCCCGCTGCTACTTCGACATTAATAGCCATATTTGTATTACTCAACCCATGTTGGTTGGTAAAGACCCCCATTGTTGCTTGTTAAATCTCCATTTTCAGACCATGTATTTGTTGCTTAAATCCGTTATTTTTCTGGGTCAGCCTTGCTTAAATTATAGTTACCTACTTCATTGTATACTTTAATCTGTTGCTACCCCTGGTTTACATTTTTTGTCCGTAAAAACCAGCTAAAAAAAAGTGATGTTTTGATTTTCGGTAGATATCAGATTCACCATGTCCTGGTGAAGTCAGTGGTTTTTTTTCTGGTTGTCCCATTGAAGGTGGAGGATTCGCCCCGCTGTCGGCCACCAGTGCGGTGTAGCTTGGTCCGGGCTGAAGGGGGGGAAATCAATGGATGTTTTTTGGTTGAATGGTGACATAAATTATGGGACTATGATGGAAAGCTAGAGTGGGATTTAGCATCCAAGATGATACGAAAAATATGAACATGGGATTAATTGGCATGGATTTTGGCCACCAAGATGGTATGAACATGGGATTAGCTTCATAGACACTGGTCCTTTTGATACGGAAAATGATGATGAATGGGATGAAAGGGGGCTGGTTGGGGTCTTCATTGTCTTACCAAAAATGGGATGATGGTCATTTGATGATCGAGTAGATTCTTCCGGGGGTTAAAACCACCAACTGGACAAACATGGATGGCTTATTTCAACTCACTATACTTTGAAGATAAAGTTGATCTATATAAATATATGTCCCCGTGCTCGTTTTCGTATTGTGGAATTATTATGGTATGTCAAGCCTCAAGAACTACTGTATGGTCTGCTAAAGGTGAGATGCACGGCAGTTGTTTCAGGGTCGAACTTAGGGATTCGACCGAAAAAAATTCTGCCATGGCAGCCATCTCATGGGAATGCTCCCTGGGAAGATGCTGGGAAGATGGGTTTTTGCTGGCATGTTGGGACAATCAACTCAAGATTCCTGAGAATCGTTGTTGCATTCAAAAAGCTAAGAGGCTAAGAGTCAGAGACATAGTTCTGAAGAATTTGCAACTATCTCAAACGACCTCACCAGACATGATGATTGCACTTACCTTGGGTGAACCGTTAGTTTGATGGCCTTAAGGTGCTATATTTAAGGTTATTTGGTGGTTTAAACACCGTTTATGTTGATGAAATCCCTTTAGATCCATTATATTCCCATATATTCCCCATTAAATGCTTAGTGATCACTATTGTTTGCTAGTTAAACCATTCTATCTCCATAAAATGCATCGCTATCATCATTTTTCTGGTGAAGCTCCGAGGTTCAGCACGATCGGGGATGGAGTGCAGCAGCAGCAGCTGCCGGAAATCGTCATTGAACTCACCCTGCAGGCAGGGATCATCCCAAGAATGCACTGTGGTACCCCCGGTTCTGAGATGTTCTAAGTGTGTTTGATGGTGGTGGCCCAGTTTATGGTTGATTTACTTTCTTTTTTTAAAAAATAAGCCATCAAGATATATAGACTATAGATATATTTACCATTAACTCCCCCTTGAGTCCACCAAGAAGAAGCCAACTTTACTACGGGGCACCACGATTCGTCTCCATGCACATCAACCGTGCCCCGAGGATTTCCAGGGCAACTTGCTCTTTCGGCGCACGGAAAAAACCACCAAGTCCACCGATCCGGACCCCGCGGAAGGGGACATGTACCGGGAAAAACATGTGATAAAAAGGGAACAATAACGGAAGCACTGCCGTTTCTTTTTTCTGGGTAAAAACATTTTCGGTCCCAAAAATGGTTCCATCTTTATCATCTTTTCATGTTGGCCCCGTTCTTCGGCAAAATGTCCCGGGTGTTTTTGCAGGACATCAACCAGATCTTGGAGCTGCCGTTGCAAGCCGCAGGTGTACCTGGGCAGGAAGAGCTGACGCAAGAGAATCTGTGCCTTGGCAACGTTTCGCAGGCAGTTTCTCGTTATTTTGGGTGACATACACACTGAGAAAAGTCTTATATAATCTTATATATATAGATAGATAAATAGATAGATAGATAGATAGATACCCTCCCCTTCGCGCACGTGGACGTGGAGGCCAAAAAACGTACCACTAACATGGACGTGCATCGTGGCCCGCCCAAAATGTCGCTAACAAGGACGTGGTGCATTTTGTAAAAACCATCAAAATTTAGCTAACAAGGACGTGGTCCTCCCAACATTTAGCTAAAAAGTGCACACTAACATGGACGCTGCAAAGTTTCATATTTTGGTAGGTTCCCTGGGAATGACGCCATGGCTGTACACCCAAACCTAAAAACGTCTAGAGTCTATGTTAACAAAACATTGAGAAGTGAACCCTGGATCCCCTCGGCCCACAGCTGCTTTTTTTTGTCGCAGCCACTTCCCCAGTGGCGGGTCTTTGGCCGCCTCTTGCTTTGGAAATGTGCATGGGGAAGTTGCATGACTGACCCATGGACAAGTCTACTATCATGGACGTCCCTGACACGCACAACGGGCGACAGCAGGGAGACGGTTTGACATGGAGATGCACCAGAAGGAGATTCTTTTGCACGTCCCAGCGCCCAGGGGGGACCACAAGGAAGGGGACAAATAAGGACAAACCAAAAGGAGAGCCTTTAACAGGAAATTCCTTAAATGCAAGCAAGACTAATCTCACAAATTGGGCTCCTCAATGTCCATGTTAGTCGGCCCACTGCAGTTTGGAGGGCTGCCCATGGAGGTCTTGGATTGGGCCCGGGTTGAAGTTGGGACTTTTTGCTGTTTGAATAGAGAAATTGCACCAACTGGCAGCCTCTTGTTTGGGGAATTTGCAGCAATCACGGCCGACAGACTGTTGCAAAGGCCACTAACATGGACGTCCCTGGCAAGCACACAGCGAGCAACCTCAGGGAAACTGTTTGACATGTTGGACAGAACCCGCATAGGATATTCCTGAATGTGATCCAGGCTAATCTCACACATTGCTCCCCTCAATGTCCATGTTAGTCGGCCCACTGCAGTTTGGAGGGCTGCCCAGGGATCATAGTTGTTGACACCGTCACAGCTCACCAAAATGATAGCTTTGGAGGTCTGAGATTGGGGCCGGGTCGAAGTTGTGACCTTTTAAGCTGTTTTAACCATTTCTATAAAGGGAAATTAGGCAAAACTGGCCGCCTCTTGCTTTGGAAATGTAAATGGGGAAGTCGCATGACTGACCCATGGACAAGTCTACTATCATGGACGTCCCTGACACGCACAACGGGCGACAGCAGGGAGACGGTTTGACATGGAGATGCACCAGAAGGAGATTCTTTTGCACGTCCCAGCGCCCAGGGAGGGACCACAAGGAAGGGGACAAATAAGGACAAACCAAAAGGAGAGCCGTTAACAGGAGATTCCTTAAATGCAAGCAAGACTATTCTCACAAATTGGGCCTCCTCAATGTCCATGTTAGTCGGCCCACTGCAGTTTGGAGGGCTGCCCAAGGATCATAGTTGTTGACACCGTCACAGCTCACCAAAATGAAAGCGTTGGAGGTCTGAGATTGGGGCCGGGTCGAAGTTGTGATTTTTGACGCTGTTTTAACCATTTCTATACAGGGTCATTAGGCAAAACTGGCCGCCTCTTGCTTTTGTAAATGTGCATGGGGGAAGTTGCATGAACAAACCCATGGATAAGTCTACTATCATGGACGTCCCTGACAAGCACAACGGGCAACAGCAGGGAGACGGTTTGACATGGAGATGCACCAGAAGGAGATTCTTTTGCACGTCCCAGCGCCCAGAGGGGACCACAAGGAAGGGGACAAATAAGGACAAACCAAAAGGAGAGCCTTTAACAGGAAATTCCTTAAATGCAAGCAAGACTATTCTCACAAATTGGGCTCCTCAATGTCCATGTTAGTCGGCCAACCAGTTTGGAGGGCTGCCCATGGAGGTCTTGGATTGGGCCCGGGTTGAAGTTGGGACTTTTTGCTGTTTGAATAGAGAAATTGCACCAACTGGCAGCCTCTTGTTTGGGGAATTTGCAGCAATCACGGCCGACAGACTGTTGCAAAGGCCACTAACATGGACGTCCCTGGCAAGCACACAGCGAGCAACCTCAGGGAAACTGTTTGACATGTTGGACAGAACCCGCATAGGATATTCCTGAATGTGATCCAGGCTATTCTCACAAATTGGGGCTCCTCAATGTCCATGTTAGTCGGCCCACTGCAGTTTGGAGGGCTGCCCAGGGATCATAGTTGTTGACACCGTCACAGCTCACCAAAATGAAAGCTTTGGAGGTCTGAGATTGGGGCCGGGTCGAAGTTGTAATTTTTGAAGCTGTTTTAACCATTTCTATAAAGGGAAATTAGGCAAAACTGGCCGCCTCTTGCTTTGGAAATGTGCATGGGGAAGTCGCATGACTGACCCATGGACAAGTCTACTATCATGGACGTCCCTGACAGGGAGACGGTTTGACATGGAGATGCACCAGAAGGAGATTCTTTTGCACGTCCCAGCGCCCAAGGGGGGACCACAAGGAAGGGGACAAATAAGGACAAACCAAAAGGAGAGCCGTTAACAGGAGATTCCTTAAATGCAAGCAAGACTATTCTCACAAATTGGGGCTCGCCAATGTCCATGTTAGTCGGCCCACTGCAGTTTGGAGGGCTGCCCAGGGATCATACGTAGTTGTTGACACCGTCACAGCTCACCAAAATGAAAGCTTTGGAGGTCTGAGATTGGGGCCGGGTCGATGTTGTGATTTTTGAAGCTGTTTTAATCATTTCTATAAAGGGAAATTAGGCAAAACTGGCTGCCTCTTGCTTTGGAAATGTGCATGGGGAAGTTGCATGAACAAACCAATGGACAAGTCTACTATCATGGACGTCCCTGACAAGCACAACGGGCAACAGCAGGGAGACGGTTTGACATGGAGATGCACCAGAAGGAGATTCTTTTGCACGTCCCAGCGCCCAGGGGGGACCACAAGGAAGGGGACAAATAAGGACAAACCAAAAGGAGAGCTGTTAACAGGAGATTCCTTAAATGCAAACAAGACTATTCTCACAAATTGGGGCTCCTCAATGTCCATGTTAGTCGGCCCACTGCAGTTTGGAGGGCTGCCCATGGAGGTCTTGGATTGGGCCCGGGTTTAAGTAGGAATCCGATACTCGATGTTCTCAAGTCTCAGAGGGATTCGATCAACCAGAAAGAGAATTGAATGTGATCAGAAGATACCCTCTGGGAAACTAACAGTTTGGCATCGAAAATTCGTTTAATTATTTCTGATGTACCTAGGACAAATCACCCTCTTGGGGACCATCCGACAAATCAAGTTGGAAGACCCAGGGCTGCTGTTGACCATCAGCTGATGAAGCAGGGGGTATTTAATTATTCTCCAGATCCCTGAGATGGACGCTGAAAATTGAGAAAATGTACGCACGTACTATGTTAGTTGTTTTTCTTACTTTTGCCAGTTTGGCAAGCGTCCATGTTAGTTTGACACATGTCACAGGTCCACTAACATGGACACTCAAACAGGCTTTTTTGAACAGTATTCAGCTAACATGGACATTCATAGCAAGATTTCTGGCAAAAAAGTAAGAAAAACCACTAACATAGTACGTGCGTACATTTTCTCAATTTTCAGCGTCCTCGTCTGCATACCCGAGAGGTAGATAGATAGATAGATAGATAGATAGATAGATGATAAAGGATGATAAAGTTGAGTAAATGAGAGCTGATTGGTGGTTTCAATTTATCCCTGCTTAGGAGGATGACGTTTCAATGTTTTTTAAAGGGGTTCAAGCCTCTAACCAGGGTGTTTTTTCGAAAAGATTGTTTTTCAGACAAAGCCAGTCCAGAAAGTTTTGAGCAAGTTTCGCATGCATTTTTTTTTTTTAAATGCCCACGTGTCAACAGTCAACATGTGCCAGCCAATTGTGACAAAATGACCTTCATTCATGTGCACTCCCAACTATGCAGTGATGGCTTTAGGAACTTTAGGAGGAGGTCGTTGGAGATCAAAGGTATCCAAACTCACCTGGAACAATCTCGCATTTATCGACGATTTTCCCTAAAACACTATTTAACAAGGCATTTTAAAAGGAGATGTTCAAGCGCCATGTTTGATTTCGGACATGTCTAGTCAACATCCGCATCGTCACCCCCCGATCGTCATCAACATCCATGGCATACGCGATAAATGTAGTTGCTGACACACCTAGTGGGTTCCACTTGCTTGATCCAAGGACCAAATACACCGGTGAACTTACAATCAACATTTTCGACACTTGGTACAATTTGGACCTTGACATCCTTGACATCTGGCTGGTGGTTTCAAATTTTCGCATCCCCAGCCTTGGATGAGTAGTTTAGTCTTGCTATAAATGTAAGTTAACAATAAATAGCACAAGATTGCAGTTGTTTTGGGGTGATTCACATGATAAAGGAGATCAAAGGAGAGTACCCTCTGGTAATTTAACATAGCAATGGAACATGGCCATAGAAATAGTGGATTTTCCCATTAAAAATGGTGATTTTCCATAGTTCTGTTAGTTCACCAGAGGGTACTTGGTAAATTTCTGGTGTTTTTCTCCATGAAATGGGCTGAACATGATGAACATCTGACACGATAGCAGAATTGACTGCTCTCTTGGGGCTGGCTGAACTATATTTACTGCTTGGTGGTTTCAAACAGTTTATATTTTCCACATATATATGGGATAATTAATCCTTCCCAACTGACTTTCATATTTTTCAAGATGGTTAAGTCACCACCAACCAGCTCATGTCGATGGCACTGCTGACACCACTGGAACCCGTTTTGAACGCCAGGGCGCCAGGTTTGTTCACCCGTGTGTTTTTTCAATCGAGTGCCCACAGTACCAACATGGATTTGGAGGTGCTGATCCCTTACCAACATTTACCAACATAATGTGGTATATTCATGTATATTCACCATGATCCAATGATCCACCTCCCTTTGTCAAATTTGAACCAGTCAAATCCAATATTTTCTAGGCTACATTTACCATCATATACCCATACCGTACCTATTTTTACACCCCCTTAATCAATGGGAATTTCAGGATCCTAAAATGGAGGTACTGTACCATATAAGGCCATATTTTGTGGGGATATTCCCTTACATAGGCCTTATATAGGCCTTATATATGGTAGGTACCTCCAATTTAGGATCCTGGAATGGCCATTGGCTTAGTTGGCAACCAGGGACTCACCCATTCAGCGTGGCCAGGATGAGTTGACTCAGAATCTACGTGGCAGCGGAAAGGAGCTGCGTATTCGTCGACAGCTTCGCACCTTCGGCCGCACAGCGGGACTGGATGCTGTGGCTTGGGGTGTTGAAGGAAGTTTTAAGTTGAAGATGTTGAGTTTGGTAAAACTCATCATATATAACATACATTAATATACTATAATATACTATTATTTAACATCATGTAATATAAAATCTAGCATGTTCAAAACGGGTCTTGGTCCGTTTTGGGAAGGTGAACTCTCGGAGATGTCACTGGCCGGCAACTTCGGTGAGCCAGCAATGATGTGAGAGAGCTAGCGACACTGAGAAAGGTAACCGTCAATGGATTGGTTTAAGGGAAAATCTACAGGAAACCATGGTTTTTACCATCAAATATAGGGGTTTCCTGTAAATGTTCATCTGGATCATCTGGATACCCTCTGGGAAACTAACATAACTATGGAAAATCACCATTTTTAATGGAAAAATCCACTATTTCTATGGCCATTTTCAATAGCGAACTGTTAGTCTACCGGAGGGTAACCGGCTGGCGTCATAGCTAGTGACAATTCACCATGAAAACATCGAGGAGCCTTTGGGGATGCCGCAGGCTACATTACCCATTTTTCGTCAGGCATTCCATTGCTAGTATTGTTCTGGTTGGTGGTTTCAAACATTTTTTATGTTCCATAATATATGGGATAATCCTTCCCAACTGACTATATAATATTTTTCAAGATGGTTAAGTCACCACCAACCAGTGTTTGTTTTGCCAGAGTTCCAGCTGATTCAGTCTTGTTTTTCCGGACAAGACCGGATCATATTCATAGTTCCTTCCGCCAAGGCCACATATTTGTTACCGGAGAAAACTGCAGTTTTTGGGGGATTACAAGGCTTCCTCCTCGGTTCTTATCCCCAAAAGAGAACCGCATAGAAAATGCATGGTGTAAATGGATATAAATGGTACGTGGAGGTACTTTTCCCCAAAGTCAGATGTCAGAAGAATGATTAGATGTTCACATGTTTTCAATCACAGTCTCCCAGCTGTTTCCCAGATGTGTCCCACCATGTCCCACCTGAAAAATCTGATCTGCCACCCCAAGTTGCCAAGGCCACCTGGGCCGTTTCGTGCTGCCCTGGTCCACGTTGTATTCAGCGAAGTGCAGTTTGAAAGGCAACTTCCTGGTGGAAGAGTCGCTTGACATATCTTGACATTCGACGTCAAAATCGACGTCAAAATCCAGCGTGATCCACCTGGATGAAGTACCAACAATATTGATAGTCATTTTTAGTGAGTACCAATGTCCTTGAATATTGTGACAATATTATATGTATGCATATATTATATATATACATACACATTATATATAATATATAATATATATATGTGTGTGTTCAGAGTTGTTAATTTCAGTACTTACGCCAGTACCAATGTCCATTGAGACACTAAGAAATAGTAGTCATTACTAGGGATTCTGCGATGGCAATGGAGAGAGACAGAGAGAAATCATTAGTAATATGGCTAGGTTTGTCATTGATAGTAATAATGTGGTAAAAATGTGGTAAATCCAATGCCATAAGCCATCCACATAAACTATTTTTTTATTGGTGCTACCAACTATAAACCATCCCCGAATGGTAGTTGTTTATGGCATTGGGTTTCCCACATTACTAAGATTGCTATATCAACAATTTCAAGTTTGGGTACGTAATCCAAATTTTGGATGATGATGGATGATAATGATGGATACAGTGCCTATAATATCCCACTATAATTCGGTTGTATTTTGTTTACCTTATATATGCATATAGACTCATAGTAATGAATAGCTGAGTTATCGGTTTGCGTGATTACAGAGCAATTATCAAAAGATGCCCTAAATCTGTGGTGTGGATTTGTGTTTTTCATGATTGAATAGCTGAAGGGTGTTGTACTGAAGGTTTTCTTATCCTCACCTCAGTGATGTTCTCCAAATCTTCCGGCATCATCATTGGATTTACGGAAGAAAGACATGGCTTCCACTCATATTTAATGGAACCAAACGCTGCAGGTTTCCGGCGAATATCTTCCCTTAAAGGAAGGGCCCCCTAGGGTAAGTTGGCTTCATAGCCGGGCCAACTATATCGCATGGTGGCTGTATCCATCTAGTTCTATAGGGTCAGATAAAACCAAGGGGGCCATTCCTACACTTTCCAGGTGGTAGTATATCCCAGTATATTCCAGCTATATCGCCATAATATCCCATGGTTTCCTGTAGATTTTCTCCGAAATCATCCCCGTTGTTTCATCGTTTCGGATTGTTCAGCACCATTTGGTATGATGGTCCCAACTGACGAGCATATTTTTCAGGGGGTGGCTCCTCCACCAAATGTAAACATCCAACTTTGTTTTTTTTATATATATATATAATCCCATCATATAAACCAGTACATATATATATAATAGCTATACAACTCTATATATATATGTATCCACATTATACCCCCGCTGCATCCATTATCATTGTATACATGAGTGTGTATATATATAATATATTATATTATATATATAATATTATATATATGTGAATATGTTATCCCCGCTATACCAATGATGATCCCCCCGGTTCCCATTCCCATTCCGCTTCGCCCAAGGCATCCGGTGCTCTTCGGGTATCGCCCAAAGGTCAGAAAGAAACCGCCCACAGCTTTGGTGGCTTCAGGCGTTGGAAGGGCCGTTGTTTTTGTCAGGAAAAAAGTGGACGTTACCAACAACAGTTGTGTTTTCTTCATGTTTTATCCATAAAAATTGGGATTTCACCGACAATTATCCATTATGAATTTAAAAGATGAATCTGATGTGGGTGCAGTTCCAGTGATAAGTGGTTGTACAATAGCTGTAGGGGCTTTGGACATATATATATATATGTATATATATATTATATTATACATGCACAAATAAAATATACACGCTTATTATGGCGGTTAAAATCCTATGGCTGTCATTAATAAAATCGATTGCACGACCAAGAATGATGATATCAGGGGAGTTAATCTGGGTGGCTCGAACTTCCCCTCTAATTGGCTATTTGAAAATCACCTGCCAATGGCGCAACGCCATGGCATCAAGCCAAGCGAGAATTGGGAGATCATGGAATAAGCCGTGAAACATTGCATAAGGGTGCAGTAAATTGATGTAAATTGTGGTCATCAATCCATGTTCACAGATTTTTATGGTCACATACCCCTTGAATCAATCCAGGATTTCATTGAGGACGGATGACCCATATCCCAAGGTCCCAGTTGATTGGTTGTGCCTCCCTATCCAACAAGCATATCCCATACCACAGTGATCCATCTAATCCCTTGCCCCTAGAGAAAAGCACCGTTCAAACGACACCATGGTGCATTTTTTGGGGACCATATGATGGGCATCAAATATGATCGGGGGGAATGGATCATGGCACAGTAGCACATATATGATCCTCCCCCGTGAAAATAACGATTATCCTAACTTGCTAGTGATTTGCTAGTGATCACTTGCGATTCAACCAGCCAGCAGGTAAACCAAGTTGTTTGATGCTCAAGGGTTCTCGCATTGTTTTTTAAACATTATTTTCTGAAGACCGTGTGTTGGTCGGTTGAGGAAAGCGCGCTGAACCCATGGTTTTTATCCTTAGACCAAATCTCAAAATGCATCATGGACAACAATGAGTTGTTTCTTTAATAACAGCCGACTGAAGTCAATCCAAAGTGAGATTGGTTGGATGATCATGATCATGATCATGATCATCATCATCACCATCACCATCATCATCATCATCATCAGCATCAGCATCATCACCATCATCATCATCATCATCATCACCATCATTTACATATTCATTTACATATGCACATATATAGATAACTAATATAATTTATCTGTGAAAAGAGAATGAGAGAGATGCAACCTTCATGAATCTACATGTGGTAAGCCGCCATGAAAAACCATCCCCAGTCATGGTAGACTGCCAGGCGTACCGGCGCCACCACCACCGAAGGAGTCGCCCAAGCCCATGGTCCTGGCGTTGGATGTGGGGGGCCACGGGGCGGATCGGAGTTCGCCGAGAAAAAATTGTATTTTTCCCATGGGATTTCAACATATTTCAACAACGTTAACCATAACCCATTGTTGTATGATGTCGTGCATGATATTCGGGATATTCGGTTGGTTAAGTCTTGTATTTCCTCTGGCTCAAATCTTGGAAGTCCTTATTTATCCCATGACGGATCCATGGTGCTGCTATATATGGTGCTCCATGGATCCCATCAATATACCCCCTTTATGTTAGCATTTTTCTACCAGCACCATGGATCCTATGGCTAACAAACCATGAAAACATGGGGATTGAATGATTGTAGAGGAAACGACATTTTGGGAGTTGATGGAATTCATTTGGTTTTCTCTTGGGTGGGGATTTTAACCACAAAATGGGATGGGACTTGACATGGTTTAAACTCTTCAATGATGAAAAATGGTGATGGGTGTCTGGAAAATAGTGGCATTTAACCAACAAAAATGAAAAAACACGGAGCGGAGTTTGAGCATGGTTTAAAACCGGCAAGCAAACACGGATTCAACACGCCAGAATATCCAGAATGGGGACAAATACCCAAGAATTTTCAAACCATATCATATCCAAGAAATTAGTTTACGGTTGAGGAGAATCAACAGGAAATTTGAATGCATTTAAAATTGAGCCTCGGAGAGGTTCTCCAAGAATAATGGCGATTTTTTACCAGCATCATCCGATACAAGGGACATTCACCATGGTAATTTGTGCGGTTATGTAGCTGCCCAACATGGAAACCAACACAAACGTCTGTTAAAATTGTTAAACTTTTGGATGATTTTTCTCTCACCGGTGATAAGATCAGCAGAAACAGAGAGGTGCCATGACCTGGCATGAACAAACTTTGCGCAGCACGTTTTTTCGCCCCACAGGTACTTCACTATATACACTTTCAAAAAAGGTTTTTGCAGGGTTTCTTTAGGGTTCACTTAGTTTTTTTTAAGGGTTAATTTAATGTTTTTCCTTGCGTTTTAGTAGTGTTTTTTTTGGTTTATGTAAAAAGTGTTGGAAATTTAATCATCTCAACATAGTGAAAGGTCACAAGTACTGTAAGGGTCACCAAAAATATGAGGTTCCCGACAATCCCAACAGAGTTTGGGGCATAGCACAAGTGCTGGCCGAAACATCATTGGTCAATATGAGTGGCCACCGAAGGCCCACCTCTCATTGGGGGGACCGAGGTCACAGTAGATCCACCTCTGGAACATCCCACGCGAGTGCAACCGCAGATGACTTTGGGAAAGGAAACCAACATGATGTTGAAACATATCCAGCACCTTGGCAAACTGGAACTGACTTGGGAATGCCAGTTAAAGAATGGCGGCGTTCAAGATGTGGTTGGTAAAGGCGGAGGTTTTTTGCTGGGGAAAGGATGGGCTAAGTTGATGCTGTTTGGTAAGCTTCAGTGTTGACCTGTCCAACCAAAAATTAGGCATATATTGGCATATGGCACAGTCATAGTCAAGTTTCTGCCACCTTTTTTTCGTGCCACATGTGGCCGTTCCATCCATGGGGTTTCTTTCGCTCAGGAAATGGCACGACTCCTTGAAATCAAAGCATGACACCCGTGCCTGGGCTTGGTCTCCATCCCTTTTAAGGGATATGGCCGGGATACTGGTTGGTGGTTTGGAACATGAATTTCATTGTTCCATTCAGTTGATTTAAGTTGGGAATTTCATCATCCCAACTGACGAACTCATACTTTTCAGAGGGGTTGGTATACCACCAACCAGGATATAATAAGAAACCATCCCCCAGTCATCAGCATTTTTAAAGGTGGTATAAACATGTATGTTTACCATTCCCAGTCATTTATGGTGGTAAAAATGGTGGTTGATGATTGTTTTACCCTCTGGTAAACTAACAGTTCGCTATTGAAAATGGCCATAGAAATAGTGGATTTTTCCATTAAAACTGGTGATTTTCCATAGCTATGTTAGTTTACCAGAGGGTAACCACAAAAAATGGGATATGATCATCAATCCACAAGGATCACAGAACAAAAAAGCAGTCCGTTCGGAATCCCCATGGGATACCAAGTCGTCCAACATAGTCCAGTGCTGAGCTGAGAAACAAGGAGGCTGTTCATAGCTGGAGAGCCAAGGAGGTATATACTGTAGAGCTTTCCAAGCAAATTTGATGTTCAATTATAAATTATAACTATTTTTGATTATTTTTGGTTATCAATCCACCCAAGGAATTCTAAGGAGGGAATGTCTTCATTTTTGCAAGGTTGCCTCGATGTCAATCCGAGATTTTTAAATACATTCTGACCAGTCTCCCTACCATTCTCGGTTCAGCCAGCAATTCGGGTTTCAGGTCGTCCAGATTTGTCCAGCTTAAAGCTTGGCGCCCAGGAATCTTGGCCTTGGGCATGGACGTGGATGGACGCTCTCGCCTCATTTGCCGCTACGTCCGGCCTCAGATGCTCGGCGGGTTCACCCACGGGGTGGTTTAAATCCGCGGGAGTGGGTCCAAATTGGGACTCTCAAAAATGGGGGGGCTGGCAATGGTCGCAGATGGATACATATATGTAAATATATTGAATATAGTAATGGTGAAATATTGGTAGCATAACCATTATATGTTAATATACTATCTTATATGGATACATATATGTAATATAATATATGTAAACATAATAGCGCATATATAAGATTTGTGTTTTTCCGGCTGTTGACATGCTCACCCATAGCGAAATGCCTGGAAGATGATTGGTCGGTCCGTTAGAATGCCATGATCATCCCCACTTGACGGATATTCCTATCGTTTGGGGATAGTTTATAGCACCCATTTATGGATATTTAAATACTACTTTATAGATACTTATGGTGATTTTGGGGATGGCTTACTTTTGGGTGTACCGGTTTACCGCATTCTCTTGTATGATACCAGTTACAAGTATCGCATTCGATTCCTTTGAGATGCCCAAATCATCCACCAGGAAGCCTCCAGAGCACATTGCAGCGGAAGATCCTTTTGCCATCGACACCTGGTCGAAAAAACCATGACTGGCTGAGAAATTCCTGAAAAAATCCGAATGTTTTAGATCTTAGATATCTTAAAATAGTAGGAAAGCCCTATCAAAAATTAATGTTTTAATGGGATATATGATATATAAATGGAGGATGCTTTTGCAAGCCACGGCGATGATTACTGGGGGTAAAGAAACTTATGAAAAAGACATGGATTTCAATCACCAAATGCTCAGTCATAGTCATAATAGTGGTTCAATATCTTACAGCAGCTGGTGAATGATTGGTGGACATTTGGGGTTTAGTCTTTAGCTATGTGAAATAGTGGGAACATGGTTCATGTAGATACAAGTTTGATGACAAGGGACTGATTTGAAAAGCATCCAAGGTTGGCCGTGTCCCTAGCCACCTAGTCTTAAGAGATGTTCGACTACCAGAGGGTAAGATCTTAATTTGTGCTCAGCAAATTATTGTATCAATATGTATCAATACTGTATCATATTGTATCTATTTATATCTTCTTGCCAGCCAATGAAAACATGTTGAGTCCTTCAAAGTGGAGCCCCCTGAATAGCTACAGTGGTTTCTAAATCCGCCCTAGAAGGGCTGGAAATGGATTGCGTCACATGAGCTCAGGGTTATCCGATGATCTCCGATGAATCGCTAAAGCGAGATCAAACAGATCATTTGAGAAGAAACCGGCTAGTGTGAAGCTCTGACATGTTTCTTTTGTTTCTTGCCTCCTACCCAGATTCCATATATTGCCATATATATAATTATATATATAGATATTATATATATATATCATTATATTAAATTATATATATACTGTATATTTTATTCCCCACCTGCCAGGTGAGGGTTGTTAGATTTTATGTCAGGGGGGTTTTATTTTGCCCCTCCGCCTCCGCTCCCCCCCGTTCCTCCGGCCCTCCTCCTCCCCGCCTCCCCCTCCTCTGCCTCGTCCTCCTTGTCATCCTTGTCGTCCTTGTCGTCCTCGTCGTCCTCGTCGTCCTCGTCGTCCTCGTCGTCCTCGTCCAACTGCGACCCGCGATCCACAGTGTTTTCCCTGCCGGACCTCAACCACGACCATCCACGCCCAGTGTTCCCTGCCGGACCTCAACCACGACCAGCCACGCCCAGTGTTCCCTGCCGGACCTCAACAAAAAAAACCACGACCATGCCACGCCCAGTTGGGGGTTCCCTGCCCTGACCTCAAAAACCGCCTAGTAATCCCCGCCAATGGTTCCCTGCCGGACCCCTCATGTAGGACGATAGAAGGTTCAAGAATTAAGGATTTCCAGAAGGTATGCCAGATAGAATGCCAGATAGAATGTCAGCTAGAATGCCAGAAGATATGCCAGATAGAATGTTAGGAGATATGCCAGATAGAAATGCAGATAATGCCCCCAGATAGATGCCAAGGAAAATATGTCAGAATATATGCCGAAGAATCTGTCCAGATAGAAAATGCCCAGACAGATATATCAGCTCCGAAATGCCAGAAGGATTCCAGAAGATTTGCCAGATAGAAGCCCAGAAGAATAGGCCAAGATATAAATGCCAAAATGACAGGTTCCAGAAGATTATGTCAATAGGATGCAGAAGATCATGCCCAGAAAGATAAGGCCATATAAGAATGCCAAATAGATGTGCAGATATTGGTCAGAATTGAATGCCAAGAAGAATAATGCCAGCATATATGCCCATATAGAATGCCAGATAGAATGCCAGAAAAGATTTGCCATATATAAATTGCAGAAAGAAATATTCCAGAAAGAATGTCAGATAGAATGCCAGATATATGCCTGAGAAAGATATTCAGACTAGATCAAATAGAATGTCAGAAGATATGTCAGATAGAATGCCAGAAGATATGCCAGAAGATATGCCAGATAGAATGCCAAATAGAATGTCAGAAGATATGTCAGATAGAATGCCAGAAGATGTGCCAGTAAGAACATGTATAAATGTCATGGTGGGGATCACACGAAGTAAAGTAATTTTTCCTCATCCCTATCCGCATAGTACTCGTTTCATGCCATTGGTGAACCTTAGTCATTCTGCCCGCTTCACGCCAGGAAATGGCTGCACGCTACGTTGCCCTCGTGCCCTCTTTGCAGGCCATGGATCCAGAGCCCTTTAGTAACCGAACATGGCAAGGGTTGTGTAATGGAAAAATCCCTTTCTACAGAATTTTCCATTGCCATGTTTGCTTACCAGAGGGTCATTGTTACACCATGTTACACCATCCATTTCATTCTCGCACTCATTAATCCATGTTATTCCTATGGCTGTGGGTACCTATAAATTCCCTTTTTCGGGGGCATGTTAACATGCCATAAATCCCAGCGATTTTGATGTTCCCTTCCTGGCCTTGGGGCATGCCGGGCAGGATAATGAGATGTGGAACGTGGACGACTTATGGTGCCGTGGCTGCACGTGAGTTTCCCACTTCATTTCATATAGAAAAATAACATCATTTTGACCCATGGTTTCCAAGATCTCATGTCCCCATTGCTTTCAGTTATCTTTCAGTTAAACGTGGCAATTTTGACAATTCCATTAAAACTTCCCCGTTTATAGATTGGTTTTCCCATGATTTTTCCATGAAGAAGCTGCATTTAGTTCGGGGATTTTCCCATTGCTTCGCCAAACTCATCGCCATTCTGTGTCGAGGTGCACTGACCAAGAGTTTCTCGACATCCAATGCGGTGATTGGGAGGAGAAAACATGAGACCAGGGTGAAGTGATCCATACCCAAGTAGAGACATGGGGTGAACCCATGAGAGTTCTAGCTTACATGGTGATAGATGGTGGGTTTCTGCGTTCATTCTTCAATCTGGAACACCAATTTGGCTCAAGCCCTTCGGCTCAAGGTCCACGGCAGCATCCATAGTACAGGAATTGTGAATCCGATCTATGCCATGTTTCGGCGGACTGGAGTAAACATTCAAGTGGAAGTAGTCTGGGCTTTAAGCCGTGCGGTCATTTGCAACCTTTCGATATGTCCGAGCAAAACAATAGAGGAGTTGAAGATCACGATTTCGGAACATGCGAAAGTGCCAGCGTGTTTCATGGATTTGATCTGTGAAGATAAGCTAGCATTGGATACTCACAGACTCCGGGTCTTTGGTGATGGAGAACTGGAGTCCCTCGAGATTCAGGTGCTCCGCAAAAAGCCAGCAAAGTTGCTGAGCATCATCAGAGGATGGTACATGAAGGATTGGCACAGATACATGAGGGAACATGATTTTCAACTCAGCGCTGTGGGATCTGACTTGCCGATGATAGAATACATCATCGCCACAGATGATGATGGCGATCTTGTAAATGAGAAGGATGAGAAGTGGCTCCCAGAGTCGGAGCAGCCAGAAGACTGGCTAGCCTGGCTAACCCAAGAAGAGTTTGAGGATATGACGATTCACCGAAATTGCACAGCTCTGCACTATGCGGCACTTCTGCGGGATGTGCATCTTTGCAAACTCATCCTGGATCATCCGCGATTTCAGGAAGCCAATGCTCACTGTAAGCTGCCTCATTACAACGAGGGTTGGACGGCTTTGCACATCGCATGCGCCATAGGAATTCAAGACATTTGCCTGTTGCTGCTGCAGCAGCCAAAGTTTACTGCAGTCTGGGATCGAGACGCTGACAACCGGACAGCACTTCACTATGCAATGGAGCGTGGACATCCCGAAGTCATCTCCGCTTTCTTGGAGCACTTTGATGATGTGAAGTCCCACACTTACACCTTGGAAGTGCTAGTGGATTGCTGCATCCACGAACTTTTCTACAATGAGCCCGCCAATCATCAGGAGATGGTGAAGTTGGTGGTGCAGTCCTGTGCTGCTGCCCTATCTTCCCTTCCACCCGTGGCAATCGACTGGCTGATGCTGCCTTCCAACCGAAAAATCTTCCAAGACGCCCTGAAAGAGCAGAAAGACTGTGGCAAACTCTTGGCTGGTCTTCATTTGGGCAATGGTCATTTGGATCTTGAATTGGCCACGTTTGCATGTGACCTCAACAAGGATGAATTGGCACATCGACGGTTTGTGAAACAACGGGAAAGGCGAAGGAGGTTCCTCTCAGCCAAAGCCAAGAAAAACAAGGAAAACACTGGGAGGATATGGAAATCCAAGGCTTCTCGCATGGGCTTTGCGTCAAAAAACACGACTTCTTTTCAGTGGCCTTCCGGAATATGTTTAAGCAACTCATGATTTAATGATTTAATATGATTCAACTAATGTTCCCTGAATCTTGACACATGTGCATTTTGCACCTTGTACAGTTGCTCTTAGGGTCTTTCTTGTGCTCCGCCGATGTACGGAGTAGCTCCAAAATTGGACTTTCCGCGCAATCGGATTGACGCCATGCTGAGTTTGGCATCGCAAAAAAAATCCTTATGACATGAGACGACGTGTTTGTTCTAGTGTTCAGTTTGGAGTGCTGTGTTTTTCTTTGAGGGCAGCCTCATGATATCTCATGATGGAAGCTCTCTTGGTTGAGGCGTTCTGCAAAACTTCCAATAAATATCTTAATCTTCAGATATCTTTAATCTTTAATCTTATCTCTTAATCTTCCAATTAATCTTCCAGGCGTCCACAATCTGGTCTTTTTCGGGTCAATGTGTACCCCGTGCATCCCGCTGCGGCATAATCACCAACTTCTTGGGGTATCTACAAACACAGCGCATAGGCTGGGTATGAGAAGGTGCAATGCACTGCAAGGCCTTCCCAAGTACGACTGGTTGCAGTTAAAGATCCAAAATGGGTATGTCTGAAAATGGGGTATACCCCCAATTATAGCCATTTAGTAGGGATAATGATCATTAACCATTGGGTGTAGGGGTACACTATTTTCAGACAAACCCAGATGGGCCCATTTTTGTTCTCAATATTCTCAATTGTCCTTGTTTGTTTCCATGGCTTTCTCTTCCGCGGCCTTTTCGATGCAGGAGCACTGCATCTTGCTATGCAACTACTTCAACTATATCGATCGACTGAGACGCGATCGTGTAGGTGGGGTTGCCTTGGTTGGGCTTTGGTGCTGAAGATGTGCAAACTTTGAACATGGAAGGCTCATAGGTACCTTTTGCTAAACTCACATAGCTTCGGAAAATCACCATTTCTAGTAGGAAAACCAACTATAATCAATGGCCATATTCAATAGCTTGTGTTAAATCATCAGGGAGTAAACTGGTGAAAGGTCATGGTACGTGAGTGGGGCGGGTAAACACATGGGGAACCACTGCCATGCTCGCATCAAATCAACTTTTTCCTGCATCATATCCAAGAGCCCAGTGCTTGAGTCATTGAGGATAGAAACGTCCTGCCATGCTGAAAAAGAATCCCCCCCTTCTTACTAGAAGAGCTTTTCGTTCCAGTATGACTCTGCTCCCTTGGCTCATCGTTGATTGATTTGTCTACGCATATTTATACAATGACAAACTCAAAGACTGAATTCATATGAGTTGTTCATAGTTGTTCCATACAGACAGTAATACATAATAAATGAATACATACATGTGGTAGATATAATCCCAAACACTCACACGGATATATATATATATAAAATATATATATATATACATATATTACATCATATTGCATCTATTTATATTTATGTTGCTTGCATATATATATATATGTGTGTGTATATGTGTGTGTGTGTGTATCACGTATATAATTGTGCGTGTCCCAACTGGTATCTGCTATGACCAAAATTGCCGGCCTTCAGCTGGTTTTAGCGCCACGGATATCCAGTCCGCAACTCAGCCGTGGGGCGAACAATGGCTATCCTCAATGGATTGGTCATGGAAAAACCATGGAAAACCATGGACAAGCCCATGATCTTACGGGGAAAATCGATGGTTTCCGGCGAGGATGTTCCCTTCAGCCAATCCATTGATATCCATTTTCAGTACCCTCTGGTTATGTCAAAATAGCTATTGAAAATGGCCATTTATAGTGAGTTTTCCCATTAAAAATGGTGATTTTCCATAGCTATGTTAGTTTACCAGAGGGTATCTACTTGTTAAAGCTGAGACATGCAACGCTCAGTCGGCGAAGTAAATGATGTCTTTGCACACCGGGCAATGATTTGTTGTGGTCCTCCTGGCGATGCCAGAAAGATCCGTGAGGCCTCAGATAACTTCAAATCCAAGTCTGCAACACAATCTGGATACCCTCTGGTAAACTAACATAGCTATGGAAAGATCCAATGGGAAAACTCACTATAAATGGCCATTTTCAATAGCAAACTGTTAGTTTACCAGAGGGTAAGTTATCTGAGGCTGAGACATCCTCTTCCAGTTGAATTTTGATGAATTTTGATGTCCCCAGCCAAAGCCGAGCGGCTCAACACGTCAATTTTGTTCCCATGGATGTTCCCCATGGTTCCCCAACAAAAATCGATGTTCCGATCCCATCCGATCCTTGACTCCGGGGATCCTTCAGGTCCTATTGCGTCCTATGTGACCTGGTTCCCGAGGGAGAAGCCGTGGTGGTGCTCCGACAGGTGGAAGAACGGTGAATTGCTGATTTGACCAAGAAAAATGGTGAATTTCATGGGATTTAAGATGATTTAATTACTCTAGATGGATTACCTTTTGGTAATTGAACTTCATGGAATATGGCTCAGTTCTGGATTTACCAAACAGTTTGGTGATTTTCCAGTTCGCAAACTCTCACAGCAAACCAGAGGGCATTCGATCTGGTACGATCTCATCCCCAACCATCTGGATTGGCCGAAACTATCAGAAACTAGTTTTTTAGTGTTTGCTATTTTTTATGGACAATCACCAGCCAACCAGCAAAAGATGACTTATATACCATGTTTTGTGGGCTACCAAAGATTAACCATGCTATTATCCATGCCATAACATATATTAAAGCACACACACATCTATATATACAGTATATATATATAATTATATATATATATATATTTAATTATATATACTTAATTATATATATAATTATATATATATATATATTTTTATATCCATGATATCCCCTTATTGGTTGTTAAAAGCCGCCATGATCTCATCGTCAATCGCAGGAGAAAAGCTCTGGTAACTGCGAGTTCTGGCATGCCCTGCAGGGAAAATGTGGCTCGGACAGTCGCTTCGGGATTCGCCGAGTTAGTGCTGGTTGGAATGTTGAAAAGACCGTGATATCATAGCAAAGAAAAATCCGACCATTGGCATGTTTGGGAACTTCGCTTGGTGGATTGCAAATTGAAACTATCTGATGTTTGCATTTTTGCCAGCAACAGCCACCAAATTTCTGAGAAATGGTGATACATGATGGTACCATCACATTCCTAGTGTAGACCCAGATTTCATGCAAGCCCAAGGTGCAGGAGGAAATGCAAACCCAGACGTGATCGCTTCAATATATCCCACTATGTCCCCCATCATGACTAGTGTGATCAATGTTAGTTAGATTCATATCACGACATTTTTTGTTGCTTGGACAGCCAGGTGTTGCAAATAATGTCTTATCATCATCCCATATACCCATGCATACTTATGCAATAACAAACCCCTACCGGGATGGTTTTCATGATTCTTACATTTTCTGACACCCATACTTGCACAAATGTTGATATAAGTCCATTTTTTTGCGCAATAATCACCCCATAACTAGCCATATCTATCCTTGAATTTCCATAACGCAGGCTTCGCCTCATTGCCATCTGGTTTTTCTTCACACTTCGACCATGTTTTAGCCCCCATTTTGTTTGTGGAAACGAACCTTCCAAGCCTGGAGCCCTGGACAGCCTGGACAGTACGCTCTCCCGAGGTTTCGCTCTCCCAGCCAGTATGCAGATTGCGAATAGCACTGGAGCCCTGGGACAACCTGCAGGATACCATTGGGTTAGATCATACTAAATCAACATGTCAATGGGTTATGTGTTATATATATATGTTATATATGCTATATATGTTATATATGTTTTATAAATCATACGAAATTAACATGTCAATGTATTTAGCAGTTTGCTTTGGACACTCACGATATATTATTGGGGAAATCATCTATTAACGGGCAATTTTCCATAGCTATGTTAATTTACTGGAGGGTCAACTGTATAGCAGGTGAATTTGTCATGTTTGTGCATCATATTACAAAGTAACAATATGGATTTAGCCAACTGGATATTCATATGCTGTGGTAAACCCTACATTCTGAACCATCACAGTTGGATATTTGTTTAACGACCTCACGTCGTGACGTCATTGGAATGTTGGTGAATGTAGGGGTAACTATCCCCAAGATAGTTGGCCTTCTTTCGGGTTAACGGTTAGCGTTTTTTTTTAATAATTGATCCAGACAAATGTGATGTATCCTTTGCCGGACAGCCCTTCGTCACAAGGTAGCTGGATGGGAGTCATATTGGGAGGGTTTTTGAGTCTTTTGTGGCCAAGTGGCCATGTTGGCTATGAAACCGGTGGGCTATGATGGTTTTGACAAGAAAATCTGATGAGACCTGCTTGAAAACTGGCCAGATATCGAAGTGGTAACATCATGTTTCGAGGTCATTTTGTTGGGAATGCTTCCGGGGTTCCATCTTAGGTTTCAAGGAGTACAACCTCTATATGTATATATAAGTAGGAGTGTGATGCTTTCAGAAATGTCCAGCCAATTCCTGATGATCATGGCAGGAAAATGAACTGAACGTCTAAAGTTTGGGGTTCCTTTGGGCACACAAACCAGCCGACCATCATTTTCCTGAGCCATGGTCGGAGTGGCATTCTCTCCACAGTGGCAAGGCCAAAGACACGTTTCTTGGCGATTTGGTGATGGGAACTCGCTGATGGTTACTGAAAGATGATTCCAGGGGTGAGTTTTGAGGTGTGTTTAGCAGAAAGGGGCACCTACCCACCTTGGGTTAGCAACCATTTGTAGCTTGTTGTCTTCCGTGGTGCGCGACTAAGTAGGGTTTACGTCATCCTGATGGTTTCATGATGATGGATATTTTGATCACTTCCTATTGAATGATATTGCTTCTGTATTCCTATTGAACATGGGTAGTTTCCATGTTTGGTTGACAGACTATGATATATGTGCATATACATATATGTATATATATATATATGTATATATTGTTTGCATTGCTTGTTTGCGTTGCGTGTTTGCTTATTTCCTGTTGTTATCAATATGCATTGATAATGTTGACATATTTTTGACTTAGATGAACCAGCTGGCTGATTATGCCAAACCGGTCATCTAACCATCAGCTGTTATAATCATGAACATGATAATTACTTGCCCATCATATATATAATACTGGTCATGGAAAAACATTGTAATAAATTGACTTTCTTAATTTTAGTTGGTCATGAGTCATCATTGTCATTGATTATACCATGCATACCATTGTATTATTGATATTTTGAACTGATAGCATAAAAAAGTTATCATTTCCAGAAAAAATGTCAATAATCATTGCCAACGTGTGATTGTCATTAATTGTCCATCATTGCCACCGATGGCACTGACAATTAGCCTCCATTAGCCGCCATGACAACTAATATCATATCCAGAATCGATATCATTATTGCGATATCATGTCATGCAATTACCAATCATCGATGTCCTTTTCCCACTTGTTGGTTGGTTTAGAGGGGTCGCTTTGCAAATTTTGCAACCCAACAGGTAAATCAAAAAGCAACGGTATACCAAAACCGGCACTTCTATATTTTCCCAGAAGGACATGGTTGTGGCCAAATGTTCAAAGCCCTGATGAGTTCGGGGATCATACCAAAAATAAGGTTAACATTACCCTCTGGTTATTTAACATAGCCATGGACAATTGCCCATTTATAGATGATTTTCCCATTAAAACCTCCATTTATAAGGGATTTTCCATGGCTATGTTAAATAACCAGATGGTAACCCATTTATCCATTTCTTGTGGGATGATCATCAAAAAAATGGTACTAACCGTTACAGGCCTTGTGATGAGCCTCGAGTCAGGCCTTCCCTGTGACGCCACTGCGACCACCGCGAAAGCTACGACCAGGGACAGCCAGGTGGTGCAAGGAGGGGATCGCGGCTTCCAATGTGAAGTTCCTTGGCCCAAAACGTTCGGAATCCGAGGTTTTGGTGAAGTCATCCCATGTGCTGGGTGAATGGGAAGATTCACCAGCTACCCTCTGGTTTAATGGAATTTAATGGGATTTTATATGGTGGTTTAATGGTGGTTTAATGGGATCTAATGGGATTTAATAGGATTTACCCTCTGGTCAACATACAAAAAATGAACTGGAAAGATCCACCCACCCTATGAACATGGGTAAATCAACGAACTAAATGACCTTTTTTTTTGGCTGAAAAACGAGGTGAGAAAGTCGTCTTTTGAGTGGTGTTCAGAAAAACCCATATGGTCAAGCTGAGTCAAGCTGCCATTCTTTCAGGGTTTTTCACATGTCGAGGCTTTGGACCCTGCTGACAGTGAGTTGTCTGAACCTGCTGAGTTATACGGCACCTTGGAGATCTTGCTGAATCCGTTGTGTTTTTTTTGGTGCTTCCCAACTTGCATAAATGATAACGATCTCACTGCGACGTCACTGGAATTATGATGGGGAATACTATGGAAATCTATGGAATACTTGTACTCAGTATACTCCTTATTATGCCTATAGTTATTACTGGTTGATTATACCTACTATTTAATAACAAATATCATCTTATGGGGCCCCATTGCCCAGGCCATGTATCCCATGACCCCCAAGCTGATGAGCCGCTTCGCCGTTCATTCGGATGTGGGCGTGGGACTGGTGGCGTCCTCCTTCGCACTGGGACGCTTTTGTACCACGTCCCTTTGGCCGATGCTTGGGCCACAGCCGCTGACGTTTTGGACCCACATGTTTCAGTCCGGGACATGATTTTTGGGAGGATGACATCCTCAACCTTGGACGGATGGTTTAAACATGTTTTAACCCGTTGGTTGTGTTGCTATCAATGGAAAATAACCATAAACAGCAAAAGATTTCTTTTTGTGGACTACCAAAGATTGACCATGGAAAAGTATGGGAGGATGTTCAACCATGATAAACCCTGATAGACAATCAAATTTATCAAAGCCTATTTTCAAACAAAACCAAATCCTACGTTCCCTTCTTTGCTTGATCAACCTTGCATGAAAAACTTGAAATGGAATCACTTTAATATGTCGCAGTAGTTTGCCACATGATGCCATGTGTATAGATTAGTAATTACAAATGTTGGTAATATAGTCACATTAATGGTAATTACTTGGTAATCACCATTATGGCCGAAGTAATATGACTTTAGCATTTGCCATATGATGCCAAGGAAGTTAAGTCATTGGTGATCTAAGCTTGGCATTTACTCAATGGGAAATTCAGGATCCTAAAATGGAGGTACTGTAACATATTTTTGGTAATATGTTCTAGGGATATTCCCTTACATAGGCCTGCAAAATAGGCCTTATATATGGTAGGTACCTCCAATTTAGGATCCTGGAATGGCCAGCGGCTTACTAACCGGCCGTGGCTGGATGGACTGGATGGACTGAGGATCCTCAGCGACTACATCGGTCGTAAGAAGGTGCTCTTCATGGCTCTCTTGGGTGGGGCTGCAGGCGGGACAAGTGCTGGGGCCCTACTGGGCCCCCCAAAACACAACATGGTGTTCTAGAAGAATGGCCGCTGCGTGTATTGTTTCTGCTGGTAAACCAACGGCCCAACGGAATGTTTTGGAGCAAGTTAATTGAGAGAAGCACCTATCTACATGCGCTTGAAATCATGGTGGGTGATATTGACACCAAAACGCGCAGTAAGAATAATGTAGTGAGTGTGAGCAACATGTATATGTTGCATATATGCACAATCATATTTAATTGCATGTGTATGTAGGAAACACCAGGCCGAAACACGGCAAACATCAGTGCCAGGTTCCATTTTGCTGGCCACCCGAAGCTGAATGAAAAAGAGACAAACAATGTTGGAATTCTCACCTTCAATATCCTGCCTTCGCCAATTTTGCTAGTCTATTTAATTTCACAATCCCATCCACTAAGATTATATTGAACGCCCCCTAAATGGTCCCAACTATATCCAAATATGCGTAAATCATCGTAAATCCACTATGAGATTATGGTTTCTTGTAGGTCCCGATGGGGTGCACTGCATCAGGTTCCGCCCTGCAAGGCATAGCTATTGCGTGACTTGGAGAACGTCGCAATGGAAAATGGCCTCTGCATCGATGTTTTTTTCCCATTGAACCATCCGTTTAGAGATGGTATGTTCATGCATTTTCCATCATTTTCCATTGCCACGTGAAAAATTACCAGAGGGTACTTGCTCTTTTTTTTTTGTCTTTTTTCAGGCAACTGATGGTTTTTCAGCCATCTTTTTCGGGAAAGGAAGCCTTGACCGCCAAGCTGAGCCGAGGTGTCACTGGCCTTTCAGCGCATTCCTCGCGGAGTCTGGGATGCAACGTAAGCGCTCTCGATGGTCCAATGATCTACCCTCTGGTGAACATACAAAAAGCTATTGAAAATGGCCATAGAAATAGTGGATTTTCCCGTGAAAAAAAAAGTGAATTTCCATAGTTATGTTAAATTACCGGAGGGTACTCGAAAGTTGACATTATGACACGAGAAAACGATAGAACACGTTAGTTGAATTCATCAGTTGAACTGGAAGGAAGCTAGTGGTTACCACACAAAAAGGGGGACATTAAGTCCTGGCCGTCATGTATCGCGCCACATTTTGGCAGTGTGGGCAAATCTGTTAAAGGTCATACAGTATGTACATTATGTACATAGTTCTGGGCAAATTATAACGACCTCACTGCGACCGAACCCTGGAATAGTGGTTAGTAAGGGAAATCATCCCAAAATGGCCTTAATTCAGGTGCACTTTTGGACCAAACCTTCCTGCGGTGGGTGCGTCACACAATGCCAGTGTGCTGATTGGTCCCTGACATTTGCCATGTTTCGACACGTGCCTCCTAAGCTGCAATCAATGCTTGGGGATTATGACATCTATGGAATGCCATTGACAACCTGGTTTTCCCCTAGAGTTAATCTCTTGGTTGATGATTCTGAGCGGGTGCAGATTGAAGGTAGGCCTTTTTTACATGCCAAACAGGTGACCATTGAAGGATCCAGTGCAGCAATGTTTGTGAACAACTGTTTTCCAGGGTTGGTGGACACCAAAAGCAACGATCGAATCCTGATTGCATGTCATGAGGGGTATCATGTAAACATGGACCAGAAAATGCTTCTGTGGAACGTGCGTGATTCATTTGGGCATTTTTCAGAAACAGACGAAGCTTGGATTATCGACAAGTACACTCAGATCCTGCCTTTTCGTGAAGTGCCACTGGACACCATACATGTTTTTGAGGCCTATTCAGGAGGTTATGGAGGGTGGAAGTTTGCATGTGAAGCCTTGTCCAGGTTTTACGATGTCAAGTTTCAAACAATTGCCCTGGACAACGATTTGAGAACGTGTTTGCAGTATGCCGTGACTCACAATGCGTTACTCATTGAAGCAACACAGGGCAAACCGAAGTTTGATCTGACAAGCTATGGCAAAGATGTAATCATTCATGCAGATGCCGATGATGATGAATGGCTTATGATGACATCTAGATGGGGAGTACATCTCATGACAATTTCTGCTCCGTGTCCACCATGGTCAGGGGCAGGCAAGCAAGAAGGTCTCAATTCCGACATAGGATGTCTTCTCCCAACGATGATCCTGAGATGCAGACAGCTTAGACCCTTGATGATTCTGTTGGAACAAGTGAATGCATTTGCCACGCATGAGCACAAACGATTGTGCTTGGATCTCTTGAAGCATGTTGGTTACAAACTTGTTTGGCAGAGAGTGGTTGATTCAGCGGAATTTGGAAGCGTCACACGCCTGAGATGGCTAGCCTTGGCAGTCCATCGAAATGCACAGGCTGTGGATTTTCAAGCTGTACAGATGTGGCCAAAGATTGAACAGCTTTTTCCGGACATGCTGCATGCAATCATTCCCAAGCCATTGCCCGATGCTGTACAGTTGGAAGTGACACAACTCATGCTCTCATGCGCGCAGGACACAACCATGCTTCCTCCCATGTATGCAAAGTACAAGAACCTGACAGGCAAAGAAATCCTTAGTATCCGAACCAGGACAGGTGAACAAGTGCAGCCTACTGTCATGGCCATGTATGGTAAACAGCACGACCTCTGTAGATCCAGTCTAGAAAGGAAGGGATACTATGGACACTTCTTTCAAGATTCTGATGGTAGCCTTCGACTCTTGCATCCGGCCGAATTGCAGATGTGCCATGTGACTCATGGTTTTGCATTCACAACTAGGGATCTCAGCCAAACATGGAAGCAGACAGGTAACATGATCACGTGTCCTCATGCGATGTTGGTTCTTGTCAATGCACTGAACAGTTTGAAGACAGGGAAAGATGCAATTGATGTTGAAGAAGCCTTCCATGCGCTTCTCCAAAACAGACTGCGTGCCGATCAGTGTTCCATTTTTCATGGTTTGCATGGCTCCTTCTTTGTGGCAAACACGGTACTTGAAGAAAGGAACTGGGATTTGCAACTCGCCAATTTTGATGCTGTCTACATTCCAGAGTTGGAATTTCGTTTGCCTGAATCACATGTCTGGCATCCGGATCATGGGCTGCAGCATATTGAGGATTGTCAGGTGAACAAGTTGCCTTCTGCCTCCCAAGTCACTGAAAAAGACCCGACCACACAGTCAGAAATTCCTCCGACCACGGAATTCCAATTGATGTTAAGAGGCAAGTTCACCACCTGCAAAAGACAGCTTGATCTTTGGGTCACAGCAGATACCCAGCCGAGTGCATTGCGTGATCATTTTCATGGCCAGGTTCTGATCTCCGACTGTGTTGATGAGGAAGAGGGATATGCTTTTGAATTGAAGCATGAGTTCTCAAAAGTAGAATTTGCAGGACTTGCCAAGTTGGCAACGCCATGTGTGCATGAAAACAATCTCATTTTTATCCAATTGGACATGCAGAAACCAATCATGCCACAGCTCCAACAAATGGAACTACCTGCGTTGCAGTTTGATCAGTTTGGAATCATTGCGGTAGGACAGCAGTTCACCTGGTCCACTCTCCTCATGGATTTTAGGATCCGACAAGTTCCGCTTGATCAGCATGCATGTTTGATCTTGGCGTCATTTCAACAGGTTCAACTGTCTTACCTGTGGGACCTTACAAGCATGAACTGTTGTTTCAGTGTGATAGGAGATGACATTCCAAGAAGAACTGTCGCGGCCTTCTGGGAAAATCTCCTTCATGATGAATCTCTCCGAAGGTTGAAGCTGTCCATTGAAAAAAGTGAACACCAGCGAACAACTGAAGTGACATATCAGCATGACATGCCATTGCCGCCAGATGCATTCGACACTGTGCTTGCCATTGCTGCCACCAGGAAAATCATGGATGCGCTTGCTGAATCAAATCAGATCAGAGTGGTTTTGAAATGGAAGTCGAAAGCAATTTGGGATGGCCCCTTGAATGGCTCTCTCAACATGACGTCGATTGCTTCCTTGCTGCAGTGTGCCATGTACCCAGTTTTGCTCGGGAAATGCATGAGGTTGATTCACAAGGCCAAACAATGTTGTGATGTCACAGTGCAACAACTCCTTGATGAAACTTCGTGCTCATTTGTCATGATTCAAATGATCCCTGAATTCTCGGGCGGTGTAGGTTCGAAGGAGTCTCAGAAATCATATGCACGGAACTCACTTGCAGCCTCACTCCTTGAACAAGGATTTGCACTGGAATGGGTATCAAAAGCCACAGATGTCCTGGTAGATAAGATTGGACTCAAGCATGCTCTCCAAATTTCTCAAATGCCGCCAGGAAAGCAGAGGACGGATGAGATTCTGAAACTTTGTGAAAAGTGCTCCCTCTCAACGCCACCACAATTGACCAAAGCAGCCAGCAAGGTTGCTGGAGCTGGAGCCAATAAAACCAGGAAAAGAGTTGCAGTGCAGATCAATCCAGCTGATTACCAAATAGAGAGCTCTTTCTTTATTGGCCAGAATGATGAACCACTGCCACAAATCCAGCAGGTGAGGCACAAAACTTGTGGGGTTGCGTTGATGACGGTTGAACAAGCTTTGCCATGGATTCAAGAGCAGCAATTGATCTCCCCTGACGAACTGGGAATGGTTGTCTTAGGATCTCATGAGAATGTGCACACGTCTCTTAGACATGAGCTGCTACATGTGCCATGCAAAGATGCTGAGAACAGACCGATCATCATGAAAGCCACCCTTTTTCAGCTTGGTGAAAAAGCAGTGAAAACCCATGTCTCTCAGCAGCCGATTATTAATGAGCAGACATGCAAGACAGTTGCGGTCACCTTTTGGCAAGAAGATTGGACCAAAGAGGAATGGGACTACATTGTCGATCATCCGTTTGCATATGCACGTCAGGTACTTGCTGCTCAAGGACTCGAGGCTGTGTTTCATGCGACATGGGGCAGGTCACTGCGAAAAGACAGACAGCCCACAACTGCACAGCATGCCACCAGTGTCCAGTTTCATGCTACAGTTGCCAGTGACAAGCTGAGACAGTTGCTCACTCTGTCTGGATTCAATCGTGTTTGGATCACTCCCAAAGACAATCAAGGCCGTTTGGACATGACATGGAGGGTTATTTGGACTGACGGATCCATTGCACATTTAACCAGTTTGGCCTCCAAAACCAATGAATGTGCTGGAATGGTGAGAAACAAGAAATCACTGGGGTTGCGATATGCAAAGGAGGACTTTGAGCTTGCATGGGCAGTGATTTACCCAGACAAAGAAGTTCCGAAGACTCATGATGTGCAACACCTTTTTCAGGTGCAGTCCTTGCCATATGGCTGTAGCGCAGAGATGCTGGAACAGTGGAGCCAGCACATCCAATGGGGTTTCAAGGCCATCAAGGCGCTGGGACCGAACGCATGGCTCATTGGAAGCAGCACAATGCCACCTGAAGGGCTTCACCTCTTCAACAACAAACCTGTGTTGCTCAAGTATTTGCCACCGAGAGACACTGCTATTAGCAATCCCATAATTGCAGGTCCAAGACCCCGGAGACAGGACAAACACAATAAATCCGAAGCCTCAGATGCCACGGGACCCAATTTTGATCCATGGGCCACCTATACAGGCCCTAAGGCCATGCCATCGCAGCCCAAAGATGTGCCAGGACCTTCTGAAGCCAGGTTTCAAGAGCATTCAGCAAAGTTGCAAGATCACACGGACAAACTGTCCAAACTGGAAACTGCACTTGCCAAACTCCAGACAGATACACAGCATGAATTTCACTTGGTTTCCAAGAGGGAACAGCAAAATCAGATGCAAATGCAGGCCGCGATTGCATCCGTCAAAACTGAACTGGAAACATCCTTCCAACATGCCATCAATAATCAGAGTTTGCAG